CTATGATGGATAGTATTGTGATGAATGTTTTTGTACAGAAGGATGGTTTCTTTCTTCCTGTTGTTAAGTTCCTTAGGATATAAACCCAGAAATGGCATGTCTGGGTCAAAGTACATGAGCGCCTTTGTAACTTTCATTGTAGAGTTCCATATTGTTTCCTAAAGCAGTTGCATCAATCCATTGTTAAGATACTTATGAGTTGTATGACCCTGAGCAAATCACTTCATCTCTTTGTGCCGCAGTTTCTTCATCTGGAAAATGGCACCAGTGATACTTGCTCCATTGAATTTATAGGATTGTTGTGGAGAAAATGCTTAGGAAACCCCAAGTCACTGTATCAATGCTAGTTTTTATTACTACTTCAAGGTGTGGGTGTTCCCTCCACTGACGAAGGTCACAGCCCTTCCATACCTTCATAGATGGTTTACCATGAATTGCTGTGGCTAGAAAAGGCCACCCTCTGTGGCCAACCTGGTACCAAGTCTCTGTGACCTCAGCCAGGTTGGTCCCAGTCATTGATGACATTACTAGGCCCATACTTAAGGCCTTTTCACTTGGGGAGTTCCTCCTCAAGATGTTTACTGTAATGATATAGCTTTTTAGAGCCCAGGGTCTCTCCTCTTTGACAGGAGGAGGCAGGACAGGAGCATTCTTACTATGATATGAGAAACCAAGTGCCAAAGGAAATGATGATAAGCAGGATCAGAACAGAAAGCCTTCTCAAGAGAGGTCAATTCTGAATTAATTCCTGTGGGAAATTGAGAGACAGGATTTAGTGAAGAGGATGTGAGAGGGGACTCCTAGTGGGGGGGAAGCTGCATAAACTCGCCTCTTTTCTGGCCTTTTCTCCACACTTGCTGGTTCTGCTTGTTCATTCCCTGTTCAGCCTCCTGCAATTGCCTTTGCTGCCCCAAATTCTCTTGAAATGGCTTTTTAGCATCTATGTAATTTGACTTAATTGTTGGATTCAATTCCCATTCCTCGGTTCTAATTTGCTTTCACCTTTTTGTAACACCATTAGCTGCCTTATTCTTCTCAATGATCTCATCTCTCTTAGCACCTCAAATACTGAATTAGGAATACTGGAGCTGGAAAAGATCTTAATGTTCCTCTAAACCAAGGGGTCTTTCACCTTCCTTGGGCCCTCGCCCCCTTTTGCAGTCTAGAGAAGCCTAGAGAAGGCTCCTTCTCCAAATCATGTTTTTAAATGCATACAACGTAATACATAGGATTGGAAAGGAAACCAATTATATTGAAATACAGGTTGTCATGTTTCTTAAAAACCAAGTTCATGGATCCCAGGCTAAGAACCCCAGATCTAGACCAATTTCCTCATTTGGCGTAGGAGGAAACTAAAATCCACAGAGACAAGTAAAGTGACCTGTCCAAGCTCACACAGCTACTAAGGGGTAGAGCCAAAGGTCACAGAATCTCCATAAGCTGTCACCCAGCCTTTGCTTGAAGGTCTGAGAATTTGAACTCATTGAGGACACTCAGATACTACCTGACCATTTCCTCTTCTACTAATAACAAGAGCAAGAGTGACAACTTCCATGTATATTGCACCTTAAGATTTGTTGTTCAGTCGTTTTCCAGTCATGTTTGACTCTTGGTGACCCCATTTGGGGTTTTCTTAGCAAAGATACTAGAGTGGTTTGCCATTTCCTTCTCCAACTCATTTTACAGATGAGGCAGACAGGGTTAAGTGACTTGTCCAAGGTCACACAGCTAGTAAGGGTCTGAGGCCAGATTTGAACTTATGAAGATGAATATCCACTGCAGCGCCACCTAAAGGTTTACAGAGTACCTTGCATACATTATTTTATTTGAGCTCATTGTGAAGACACAACCAAAGCAGGGCAGGAGTATCACACAAATCAAAGAAATTCCAAGTTGGAAGGGCCCTCCCCCAAGGCTGATGAGCAGGCCCTGTGCATGCACGAGGATCCCATCTCCAATACACTCAATGAGTGGCCAGCTGGCCTGTGACCTCCAATGAGTCATTTCTGCTTGTGCTTTTAGGAGTTCATTCTTGAGAACATTTCATCCCTTCTTGGGCTGACTTTTCCTACACAATTAGAATGTTGGATCCTGAGATTCAGTGTAGACCTCAAATCTGATTCTTACGGTCTTTACACCACCCATGTCATTCTTCTTCTGCCCACTGCTCTCCAGTTTCTCCTCCTTACTTAACCTGTCTGCAGGGGTAGGCTACAGATGTTCATCAACTACCTCTCTGAAAAAAAATGTAGGTGCAGCATACCTTTATGTTTAATCTGCATGATCACCATTTTCTTTATCACTTTCTCAAGTCCAGTCAACCAAGGGGCAGCTAGGTGGCACAGGGGATAGAGCACTGGCCTTGGAGTCAGGAGGACCTGAGTTCAAATCTGGCCTCAGACACTTGACACTTACTAGCTGTGTGACCCTGGGCAAGTCACTTAAACCCATTGCCTAGCCAAAAAAACAAAACAAAACAAAAAACAAATAATCAACCAAATAATACATACGCTTTGACTTGTGGTATTTGTTGATTTCTGAAGTATTAATGTTCACCTTAACAATTGAATAGTCTGTTCTTCTGAGCAATTTAACAATTGGCTCTCATGAGTCAATGGTAACCTATTCCAGCATACCACTGCCTATCCAACTCCTCCTCAGTCTCCTTTACTGGTTAATAATTCCTTCTCTGATTCCCTAAATGGGAGTGTGCTCCAAAGCATCAGCCCTCTCCTTTTCTGTGTATGCTCCTTTTCTTACCAATTTCCTTCATTCTCATGCCTTGTTGCCACTCCTAAGCTGATAATTCCCTAATCTTTTATGTGTATTTATGTATGTAAGCACATTCAACATGTGTCCCTGTCCCCACTGTCTCCTCTTAGCTCCAGGCCCCCATTTCCAACTTCCTGTTAGACATCTCTACCTAGACGTTCCACTGGCCTCTCATACTCAGCACCTCCCCAATTGGACTTAGTGTCTTTCCCCCAGCACCTGACCCTCTTCCCAGTTTTTCTATTTCCGTTGATAGTACCATCCCCCTCAAAACCTGGGAGTATGTCTATGAGTTTTCTTTACCCTTGTCCCCACATCCAACTAGTTGTGAAATATTCTACCTCCAGACTCCAGCCCATCCCCCTCTTCTTCACTTGTGCTGGCATCCTGGTTTCAGATCCTTCACCCACATGGCCATGGCCCTCATTGTTTCTCACCTACACTTTTGTAACAGTCTCCTTCTAACTGGCTACCCAGACTCTAGTCTCTCCCCATCTCCAGTCCAGCCTTCCTCTAGCTGCCAAAGTAGTCTTCTTAATATATGTCTCCCTCTTTTAAGAAGTTTTTCAGCAACTCATAGAATGTCATTTTAGAGCTGGAGGGTCCCATTCAGCTCGCTTATTCCAGCCCCTTCATTTTACAGACAAAGAAACGGAGGGCCAGAGATAAGACTCCTATCTAGATTCCCCAACTCCAAATCCCCCAAGCCTTGCAGTTTCCTATCGCTTGTAAGACAAAATGCAAACTCCTTAACCCAGCATTCAAGGCACTGCACAGTTCCTACTGCCTCAGGTGGGCTCCATTCTAGGCAAGTAGGACTCCTAGGTGCTTCTCCTTTTCATCCTGTTCTGTCGTACTTCTGGATCTGAGTAGGTTGTCTCCTATTCCTGGAACGTCCATACTCCTTCAGCCTCCTAGTCTTCTCTTCCTTTCAGGACCCTGCTCTGGTGACGTCTCCTCCATGAAACCTTCCTTGATTGTTCCCCTCAACTGAAAATTAGCTCCCTCTTTTTTTCTCTCTGTCTCTGTCTCTCTCTCTATCTCTGTCTTTCTCTGTGTCTCTGTGTGTCTCTCTCTCCCCCTGCCTCCTTCATCTCTCTTTGTCTCTGTTTCTTTGTCTCTGATTCTCTCATGAAATATTTTCGTAGAGCACTTTGTCTACACTCCTCACTTTTACCTTGGATTCTCCTTGGATCCTCGGACCTGACGTGGCTTCCCCTTCTTTTGTGTGTATCTGGAGTGCTGGGGTCGTGCTCTTTTTCACCTGCTAAGCCTCAGCACCAAGCACAGTGCCTGCCTGTACATAGTAGCCACTTTCTAAGTATTTCTGGAATTGAATTTCAGATTTTTGCCTCCCCCCCCATGCCCAGGTAGCCCAGGTGCCTTCAGTATCTCTTTTAGGACAAGGCTGTCTTATCTGGAACGCCAGACTTTGGAAACTGAGGGTTGTATTAATGAAGAATAAAATCTAGTGGTTTGTACTTTAAAAAACATTGTTTTTGCAGTCTATGTTGAGCACCCAACAATGAAGCAGGTTTCTAAAGTTCATTTCTCTCATTAGTACTGCAATCAGTCACCTGACTGGAAAGATTTTCACCACTGAAGGTCAGCATAAAAATGTACAAATCAAATAAACTCTCTAGTGCAGTACACCTCCAGGCATCGTGAACCTGAGCCTGCCTAGACACTTTTCATTACAAGAATGAAAAAAGAATAACTGAAAGGGATAAGAACAATTACAGGGGGGCTCTTGAAAGCTGCAAAGATTGTAAAAACCACAGAGGGGGTTGACTGACGTGCTGGTTTGGAAATTAAAATGTAATCTCACTGGATGCCTTATTTTCTTGGTTCTAAAAATCATAGCTTGATACTCCTAGATATCTAGACATTTACAGGCTGCATTTGCCTCTGGGGGAAGACATATGTCTTTTACAGGGGCTGAAAAACAGTTGATCCTGGGTCCAGCTGGCCTGCCTGCCTGCCATCCATCAACAGGTCAAGAACACGGGCAGTAACACAAAATCTCCCAAAGAAGGCTGATAAACCTAAATTGGGTATCAGGGGGAAGAAAGAGATCCCGGGGTTCTGAGTTACTGTGCTGATTAAATATGAGAAGCCAAGTAGCCCTTGGTGTTAGGGCAGGTAGATCTGCTTTCGCGTTAGACAAGTGGGCCTCACTTTGGGGAAAAAATACCACTCAGAGTTCTATGTACTTTTGCTTCCTTTAGTGCCTATACCATCCTGTGGTGACTTTGAGACCGTGGTTGCCAAGGTGTTCAGTTCCCCCACGGATGAGCCACTTTGTCTGGTAGCAACAGTTCGCCTCAACTCATCCCATCTTTTAAAGGTGAGCAGTCCCTCCTTGGCCAGCCTGGCCTGAAGGCTCAAAGGCTTTGGTGAGGACTGGCCCACGCAGCCCTTTACCTCTTTCTCTTTTGCAGGTCATTCAGGCAGGTGGGAGAGCAGTGGGAGGCTTTGAGGCCTGGTCCTGAGCACTTTAAAGTCTGTTGGGGGCAGAGAAGAAGGATCTAGTGAAACACCTGGGGAGGGAAGCTCATGGAATGCTTCTGGTACAGGAAGGGAAGATTAAGCATTGCCTGAACTGTGCTCTTGGGCTGGGCACGCATTGGCGAGGTTTCCCCAAAGTTGAAAGGTAGTTGAATGATTACAGAAAAGTTTGGCCACTTGGTAGTGGTGATTTAACCAGTTAAATAAATCTGTGAAGCATTTAGCCCAGTGCCTGGCACACAGTAGGCACTATATAAATGCTTATTCCCTTCCCGTAACGTGGGTTGGCACCTGCTAAGCAACTTCTAATCTTAGCAAGTCACCTAGAACATTGAGAGGTTCAGTGACTTGCCCAGGGTCATGCAGCCAGGATGTGTCAGAGGCAGGACCTAAACCCAGGTCTTCTCGGCTTCAGGTCTGACTCTCCACTATACCATGTTGCCTTCCATTATTTTAGAAAAAAAATTAAAAGATCATTTTGTTGTTATAGTCTTCAAAACACTTTTGCAGGTTATCCCATATGATCTGTGAGATTAGCTATGGCAGGGAGCATTACCCTCATGTTACAGGTGGGGAATCTGAGGCTCAGAGAGGTCTAGATTAGAAGCCAAAACTGGCTAGAAGGGAGCTTTCCTCATTAACAGCAGAACTTGGCAAAAGGCACGATGCCAAACGAGAAGTCAGATTTGATTTGGGTTCCCAGCTATTCAATTGAGTGGATGGCCATGCTTGGGTGAGTAACATCCACATTTGGAGATTTTTCAAAATCTGTACAAATATATTAGGATTCAGAGGGGACGGGACCTTGGAAATTGTCTAGTTCAACTTTCTCATTTCACAGAAGAGGAAAGTGGGTCCTCAAGGGAAGGTGATTTGCCCAGTGCCTTTCCACTGACTAGCCCAACACCAAGAGCCTTGTCTGCTCCTCCTTGTTTTCACTTGACTTACTTTCTCTGGACCTTGCTTTCCTTATTTGTAAAATGACAGGCTTAGACTAGTTAACACAAAGGTCATGGCCAGCTGAAAATCCTTACTCACTGACCGACTTACTTGCTGTGTGACTTGGGACCTTCCCTGGGCCACAGTCCCCTCATATTAGAATAGTAGCCCAAGAAAGAGCCTTAAAGGCCAGAGCATCCAATCCCCTCATTTTACAGTTTTTAAGGCACAAAAGTGAAGTGACATCTCTAAGGTCACACAACTAGCAAGTGGCAGAGCTAAGATCTGAGCCCAGGTTTTCTCCCTTCAGGTGCATGTTAAATACCTTCCTCTCTCCCTCCCTCCCAAGAGCTGTTGTGAGGCCTAGATGTGAAGGGAAGGTGAAGTGCTTTTTTAACCCCAAAGCACCATATAGATGTAAAATATTATTATGATTATGATTATAATCGTTGCTATAATATGCATATCAATATATACCAATTTTTCTACAGGAAGTTTGCGCTGTGGAAGAAGCTGGTGAAGAATTTACCTCAAGACATAGTTTGGAGTGGAAGTTTCTCTTCTTGGATCATAGGTGAGAAGCTGTTTTTTTTTAACATGAGTACATTTTAGGAAGCAAATAGACTCTTTTCTTTTTAAAAAAAAAATGTCAATTTTTTTTTTTGGCTAAGCAGTCGGGGTTAAGTGACTTGCCCAAGATCACACAGCTAGTAAGTTTCAAGTGTATGAGGCTGGATTTGAACTCAGGTCCTCCTGACTCCAAGGCTGGAGCTCTATCCACTGCACTACCTAGCTGCTCCAAAATGCCAATTTTTAAAAGAAATTATTTAGAAACCAAAGACAATGAAAAACATGTCATGTCCCAGCCATTTCCTAACCAGAGTCATTGGAATTGGAAGGGATTTTAAAGCCCATTTGATCCAACCCCAAGGCCCAAACGAAGGCCTCTAGAGGGGGAGAGACTTGTCTAAAGTCGCTAGTTAAGAATTGACCGACCCTCTTTTAGCAAATGAGATTTATCATTTTCTAACCAAATAAAGAAGGGAGACTTGGATTTTCTTGAAGGAAAAAAGAAAGTAAATACAAGTGTCTGAATTGAGTGAAATTCGAGATAAGGGAATACATATTTCACCCAGCAAGGGCTGGCTTACTCTTTATTTGATCTTGATAAAGATAAAGTTGAGGCAATATTAAAAAGAAAGAGAAAGTTGAAAGGACAAGTAAACACTCTGAACATTTTGTGAGTACTTTTAAATGATATTTCAATTTTAATAAATCAAGTTTAACAGGAGGAAAATGAACTCAGTGGTCAGAAACGATCCCATTTAAATTCTCCAAAATTGAATGTTATTCATTAGGAGGAAGAAAGGTTTCTCAGCCAAGGTCTTTGTAAAATTGCTTCTTCTTCTCTGAGGACTTCTCTAAGAAATCACTCTTCTGTCTTGTACTTGTGTATAAATGCACCAGTAGAATAGTTAATGATTTCATAATGAATTGCTAATGTTCATTAAAAACAGACACCAAGCATTAAGGTTGTTTAATGTGAATCAATCAAGCTCAGGGAAAAATACTATTTATACTAAGTGAACCCATTTAGCCAAGCAGATCCTTCCAGCATATAATTGACTTCCTGGTCACACAGTTAACAGTGAGATCACTAAGGTACTACCAGAAGGTTTAGTAAACTATTGCAAGTATTACCTTACTGTCTTATAATTCCACATTGGATCTGTCAAAGTCTTCCACCATTACAATTTGGAATAACAGAAAGAGTGCTGAACTTGGTGTTAAGAAGACCTGAATTCAAACACCACCTCAATCATGTACTAGCTGTGTGATCCTGGGCAGGTCACTTACTTGCTCTAAGCCTCAGTTTCCTCATCTGTAAAATAGGGTTAATGCAGTTACATGGAACAGTGGATAGAGTGCTGGGCTCAGAAAGACCTGATTTTGAGTACAGCCTCGAATACTTATTAGGTATGTAACCCTGGGTAAGTCACCTGACCCTCGGTTTGCCTGAGTTTGCTCAGCTGTAAAATGGGGATAATAGCACCTGCCTCCCAGGATTGTTAAGAGGCTCACATGAGATAATATTTGTAAAGCACTTGACTTTGAACATCACCTGGCACATAGTAGGTGCTGCATAAATACTAGCCATCATGGTTATAATTATTACTGTTATATTCCTCACAGGGCTGTCACAAGGTTCGGGTGAGCTCATATATGTAAAGCCACCCTATACAAGTATAACAGGGCTTTGGCACTTCAGGCCCAGGCCACCTAAGATGGCGGCACTTGCTTTGGAGAGAAGTCATCTCTTAGTAGTAACTCAGTCTCTTCTCCACTCACATAGCTACCAGCCTGATTCAGGTCCTACCCCCTCACTTGGACTATTGCAATAGCTTTGCAATAGTAGCTTTGTAACTGTTTACTCTGTCTCCATGTTCTTCCCTCTCCAGCCCAGGGCTTCTTTTCTGAAGATGGCCCTGAGTGCTGGCATGGAGGGCAGATTCACTCAAATCTGGCTCTTTGGGGAGAAAGCTTATGGACTCTATCTCAGAGTTGTGTTTTTAAATGCATAACATCAGACACAGAGGATTGTGTTTATCAAAATATATTTTCCATCCAAGTTCATGGCTCCCTTGAAATTTAACCACAGACTGACTGCCTATGGACCCTGGGTTAAGAGCCTCCTTGCTCCAGGCCACCTTTTAAGCAAGCTATACAAATAAGGCAAAGGTTTGGTTGGGTCACTTCCCTGTTCAGAAACCTTCAGGGGCTCCCCCTTGCTTATAGGATCAAATGCAGATTCATTCACCTGTCATTCAAGGCCCTACGCTATCAGGGTCCACACCTACCTTGCCAGCCTTAACTTCCTATAACACTCCCATATACATGGTCTACATTCTCACCAAACGGAGCTCAGTTGTCATTCTCTTATCTCATCCTGCCCCCCTCCAGCCCCCCCTGCCTTTGTGCAGGAATCCCACCCCCATGTCTCCCCAGCCCTTAAGGCCCAACTCAGGTGTTACCTCCTCCATGAAGCCTTCCCAGATTTTCCCAGCCCAAAGTGATGGCTACCTCCACCAGTTCCTCACACCACTCTTACCTGCTCTCTGAATTTCCCATTTGATCACTTCTGTTAGACTTACCTGTGCACTAGGCTTGTTCCCACCAACCCCACTGTTATGCATGGTTTTTTCTTCCTTCCCTTTACTCCTATACTGAGTGTGGCTTTGTTTTTTTTTTTTCTTTCTTTCTGTTTATATAGACTTTTCCAGCAGTTCCTGCATTTTATTCTCCATTTTGAAACTTCACCAATAATGACTTGTTCTGTATTAAATTACATTCCCCTTGTCAGCTTTCATTGGAAAAATTTTGGTAGAATTATCCATTCCTAGCATAAGGAATTGCTTCTAGTAATAGTATTTGAATGATGTTTTGTTTTATGAAAAACATTTGAGGCAGTGTGGTATGTTGGAGAGAGAGATGGGCTTGGGGGGATCACTTGATCTCTCTCTGGTCCTTGGTTTCCCCATCTATAAAACTGAGACCATCACTCCTTCACCATCCCCTCCCACAAGATGGTTGTGAGGAAAGTGCATTGCAGATGACAAAACTGTAAGTTTGTGAGCTAGGGTGCTGCTGAAGGAGATGCTATCTCTGTCATATAGCTTTTCTGAGAGAGCATGACGTTAACAGTAATAACTTCGAGGAAGAAAGGCAGTGTGATCGTATCATACCCATATTTCAGTCATTTCCTCTGATGGCTCGTATTCATCCAGAGAGGTCCTAAAGGCTCCAGATATCCTCTTTGAAAGATCCAAGGATCTCAGAGCCAGAAGGGACTTATTTAGTGCAACCTGTATTTCAACTGAAATCCCTTCTGCCCTATTCCTTTATAGGTCCAGCCACTGCTGGGAAACTCACTACCCATACTAGGAGACAATTCCATGTTTCTATTGCTCTAAGTGTTAGGAAGTTCCTCCTTATATTGAAGCTGAAATCTGCCTCTCTCTTATTTAGGATTATAGATTCAGAACTGGAAGGGGGGGACCTTCGAGGTCATCTAGTTCAACCCCCACCTTTTAGAGCAGAGGAAACTGAGGCCCAAAAGGTAGAAGTGATTTGTCTGAGATCACACAAGGAGGAGAGGCCAGAGCTGGTATTAGAACACATGTCCTCAGATTCCCGATCTAAAGCCCTACTTCTCTTGACCCATCACTCTTAGCTTTTGTCCTCTGGGCACATGAAGAGAAGTTCATCGATCTTCCTAAGCTCATGTACTTGGTTTTGCCTATAAAATAATACAGAGATATCAGAAAAGCAAATTCCAAATGAATTCCCTGCTATGCATCATTGACAGTCCTTTTCAAGGCTTATGTTTGCCTTTAGCTTGGTTTGGCCTTTGCTATTGACACCCACCCTTCCTATAGACTCTAAGGTCAGTGAAGTCTGACCAAGGAGTTTGCTCCCTGGTTTGCACAGCCGGAATAATATCTCTTCCATGCTTGCTGTGTGCTCACAGGACTGGCAGCCTGCTAGCCAGCACTCCAGGCCATCTTTAGTTACACTGCAAACACTTTGATTAGATGAAAATGCATCAGATCAGTGAGTGTTTCTATGAAATGTGAAATTTGATCAGAAAATATTACTTGTTTAAAAAACCAAGAACCAGGTGAAAAATTATCTCCAAGAGACTGTGTTCAAAGGTTTGCACTAAGACCCCCTGAAAATGAATATTGAAGTGACTGAGACTGAGTATTACGAGATAATGAAAGAGAATCTAATAATTGTCCTGGTTCCCAGAAATCTGGGCCGGAAGGAAGACAAGTCATGGTGGTGCACCAATTCAATTCAACAGGCACTCATGAGGCATCTGTTGTATATGGGGCACCCTCTTAGGCGTTGTGGTCAGCAAGCAGGTTGTGGAGCAGACACTGTGCTAAGCTGGGAGCAGGGACAATACAAAGAAAGGCCAAAACAGGCCCTGCCTTCAAGGAGCTTACTTTCTTGTTTGGGGGGGAGGCAATTTCATTTGAGAAAGAAGAGAACACTTAAACATGATGAGGATGGGGGTAGGCAGTCAGGAAAGGCTTCCTGGTAGAAGTGCCATCAAGGAAACCAAGGAAAGGAGGGGGAGTATTTCACACATGAGGCACAGCCTGTGCAAAGGCATGGAAGTAGGGGATGGAGAATCAGTGTTCCGGGGATAGCAGATAAGCTAGTTCCATACCAATGAAGGGAAACTTCTTTTGCAGCTGGTTTTACAGCGTAGAAGTTTCACATTTTTATCTCATCTCATGGGGGCAGCCAGGTGGCAGAGTAGACAGAGCTCCAGGCCTGCAGTCAAGAAGATCAGAGTTCAAATCCAGCCTCAGACACTTGCTAGCTGTGTGACCCTGGGCAAGTCACTTCACCATGATCTGCCTCAGTTTCCTCAACTGTGAAATGGAGATAATAATAAAAGCACTTCCCTCCCAGGGTTGTTGTGAGGCTGAAATGAGATAATAATTGTAAAGCCCTTAGCACAGTGCCTGGCACATAGTAGGTGCTATTATATAAATGTTAGCTATTCTTATTAGTATTGTCTTTCATTTTTTATCCTACAGTAAAGATGCCTGGCCATACACATGTTGTTTCCAGAAGCTAGTGCATGCTTCAGCTGTCTTTGAGCAAATCGTTTTTTATTCTTTGTCTGGAATCCCTTTTCATCCTAAGATGCTTTATGAATGTTGCCCAGCTAATACTCACAGCTTTGGAAGAAGCTAATGGTGATTGCTTGCTGTCTTGGGGAAGGGAAAGGGAAGGGAGGGAGGGAGAAAAATTTGGAACTCAAAATTATACAAAAATGAATGCTGAAAACTATCTTTACATGTAATTGGGGAAAATACTATTAAGGGAAAAAAGGGAGAAGCAAGTGGCGAAGATCTGTTGGTATCACTAATACAGCCAAGTGAAGTAAGGAGCAACATTCAGGAGATTTCATTCTAGTGGAAAGCACCCTGGCTTTGGAACCAAAGGGCCCAGCTCTGCTACTTACTGCCTAGGTGACCTTGGACAAGTCCCTTTCGCTCACTGTGCTTCCGTCTCCTCATTTGCAAAGTGACAAGTTGTACCAACTGACGTCTGAAGTCTATGTTAGCCCCAGAGCCTCCTTTTTTTGTGGAATGTGCTTTGGACCCAGAAATAACATCCTAGGCCTCATGCTGACTCCTGGTCTGTATGTTCTTGCCCCAGTAAAAGTCACTCACTTGGTCAGCGTTTCTGGAATGCCTACTGTGTGCCCTGTATAGCCCTTGAAGATTTTGAAGTGTGACTGGTTTTCGTCAGTGTTAGGGTAGCCAATATCATTTGCTTGATTGGATCTTTTGATTTACATTTTCTGAGCAACCTTTAAAATACTCCCAACTTGCCCAGGTGGGATATTACACGTGATAAGCACACAGTCTTCCTTGAGTCCCATGATGCCTCCTCATCTGAGGTGCTCAAAATGATGGCAGTTATCCCAGGTTCAAGTTTACAGACACCAAGAGAGGGAAGTGTTTTTTCTCAAGATCAAAAATTGAATCATGAATGGACCTATGTGGGAGGCAGGAGATTTGAATCAGATAAAGACACTGTAGTATAAGGGAGAAGAATATTAACATGCGTGAGGCAGCAAGATGGCACAGTGCACAGAGTTGCCTGGCCTGGAGTCAGGAAGACCTGAGTTCAAATTGGACCTCAGACACTCATTAGCTGTATGACCCTGAGCAAGTCACTTAACCTCTGTTTGCCTTGATCCACTGGAAAAGGAGAAGGCAAACCACTCCAGTGTCTTTGTCCAGAAAACCCCAAATGGGATCATGAAGAGTCACACACCAACTAAAGGACTGAACAACAGCAATGGTATAAGGAAGTACATTTTGATTCCTAGAAATCTCTAATAGCCAAGTATATTACCTATATATGTGTACACTAGGGAGTAAAATGCTCCCAGCTTAATAATAATAATAATAATAACAATGATAATATTAATAACAGCTAGGATTTTTTTTTAACACTTTAAGGTTTGCTAAGTGCATTTGATCCTCACAATAACACAGTAGGTGTTATTAATATCTTCATTTTACAGATGAGGAAGCTGAGGCAAACAGAGGTGAAGTGACTTGCACAGAGTCCAACAGCTAATCAATGTCCCAGGCCAGATTTGAACTCGGATCTTCCAGACCCCAGGCCAGGCATTCTGTGCACTTCCCCTTCCAGCTGCCTCATACATGTTAAAGTTCTCTACAACTAGATGTGTGGACAGAAAGGACTTCAGTTCACACTGAGACTTCTGACATGTTTGACCCAGAAGGTCATCTTGGTCCCACCCCCTGATTTGACAGATGAGGAAACTGAGGGGCTTTAAATCGGAGTCCTCTTTCTCCCCATCTGGCTCTCTTTCCATTCGATCACACTGTGGTCCTCTCCTGTTCTTCCAAATGCAGTCACGTGGCTGGCTCTGTAAACTCTCAGGATTATGAAGCCGGAAGTCACACATTGGAGTCGGTCTCATTATTTCCCATTTACTGTTCGAGTTTGCTCAGGCAAAGATTAACTTGAGAATGCGAACAGATTTTTTCCCCCTTTTGTCACATATACAGTGACTCAGCTGGCCTCTTCCTTTTATATGCTGTTTCCCCTGCTAGGATGTAAGCCCCTGGAGGGCAGGCTTCAGGTGCTTCTAGAGAGGCTTCTTTTAAAAGGGTCACCCAGCACTGACTTGAATCAACAAGGCATAAGGATGAAGTGGCAAGTGAAACCTGGCCCATTTGGCCCAATTGTGTCCTCAAGAAGGTTTTGAATCCACCCTGTTCAGAAATATATGCATTTTCCTGTGTGTTTTCTTACTTCAAGAGTGTGTTTTTAAGTTTTAAGTGTGGAGGTAACCATTTTGATATAACTCTGACTGATGGACTTCAGGTCACAAACTTAGGTTGTAGGTCATCCAATGGTGGAAGAAAAACTGATAGTAAAAGATTTGATATGATACTGGATGCTTTTAAAAAATCACTTGTGAATCATTTTCAGAGCTGGATCTTGAATGAATGAGAAAGCATTTATTAAGTGCTTACTATGTGCCAAGCTTTCTACAAGTAGAAAGCTTGAGGCAGTCCCTGCCCTCAAGAAGCACACAGTCTAATTGAGGAAGACATACCTAAAAAAGAGTTCGGCTGCAGGGACAACAGAAAGACCCAGATGTCCCAAGGAGCCTTAGGCTAAAGGGAAGCCTAAATACTGGCTGTTTCTTGATGTCAGGAAACCACCATCTGCACCCTACTTCCAACCAAAGAAGACCTGGTAATGAAATGGGGTTACAGATTCCCGTTTTGATGGTTACAACTCAGACTCAGATCAGAACTTTTTTTTTCTCCCCAGGTGTGTTTTGACATGCAGTGATGATTTCAGTGTCTTCTTGCTTCTAATGAATGAGTTTCTCCCTGGGTGACAGAGATTCGCCACAAATACATGCTGGGGTATTGTGTACTCTGGAAATTCTTTCTGCATAATGAATGTCTTTAGTGTTAGCACCTTCCTCAGGCAGTGGGCCAAACATGCTCGATTAGTGACTCACCTTCCACCTGAATTCATTCTCCACGTCGCAAGGAGGAGTGGACAAGTTGCAACACTAACCTTATTCTGAAGGAACCATTTGGAAGAGGCCAGTGCCCATGATGGGCTTTGGGGGAAGGTTGAAGCTTAAAATATTTATCTTGGATCGGTCAAGAAGAGACTGAAATTTCATAGCGACCTAGGTTATATTGACTCATTTTCTTTCTCTTTGGCATTAGGGCCCCACCCATCATAGGTTACCTACCCTTTGAGGTGCTGGGAACGTCAGGCTACGACTATTACCACGCTGATGACTTGGAGCCTCTCGCCAGGTGCCACGAACAATGTAAGTTTCTGTCTTCCAAGCATCTAAATGAAATACTAATTAGGGCCCTTATGTTCTTTTTTCCCTGTGTGATGTTTTTGTGCTAAAAATGAAAGCGCTGAATGTCTTTGTTGAATCATTATTTGTTAAGAATGATTATTAAACGTTATTTGTTGGTTTATTTAGTGAGTGAGATGGTACTTTAGGGAGGGACTAGTTTGTTTTTCTCCCAATTTTTTTAATTCATTGATTGATCGATTGAGTCATGGTTTTCTGTTTTCTGATACTTTATGTTGTTTATAGCATGTTCATGTCCTAATTACCAACACACACACACACACACACACACACACACACACATACACACACACACCTCCATATAGCCTTATCTCATAACAAAGAAAAAAAGTTATATGAAACAAACCAACACCATGACCACACCTGGTGACATATGCCAACAGTCTGTACCCTTTTGTAGTCTGCCACCTCTGTACCTTGAGGAAGATGCTGTGTGAGAAGGGAATTTTAATGAAATGGAAACAAAATTATTCATTTCTAATTTCCCATTTCTTTCCGGGCTCCCCCCACCCACCCCCAGCTGCATGTTTTCCCTTCTAAAGCTGCCTTCTATCTATTCTGTATTTATCTTGCATATACCAATGTTTGTACATATCTCCACCATTAGAAAGCAACCTATTTGTGGGCAGGGACTGTTTTTGTTTTTGTATTTTTTGGTATTCCCAGGCTTTAGTGCAGTGCCTGGAATATAGTACGTGCCAATAAATACCTGTTGATTGATTCCCTTTGTGCACCACCTTAAATTTGTGGGTCGGTGGGTTTTTTGGTGTTTGTTTACAGTCCTTGCTTTGGGGAATTGGAGGATTTCTTTGCATGTTTTTTCCTTGGAAGAGGTGGTGAGATCCCCATTGCTGAAGGGTGTGCTACATTGCTGCAAATGGGGTCACTAAAGGATCAGAGGATCTCTCCTACTTCAGCTGATGACAGGCTGTTACCGTGGAGCCCAGATGGGGATGGAGCTTTCTTTATCAGCCATGTGATAAGATTCACTTGCCTGTCAGATAATGAGAAAAGGGACGGCAGAATCAAAGTCATTTAAACTCGACATTTTCTCTTTTGTCAATGTTTACAGTATAATATGGAACATCCTTTGCACTGCTCTTTGTATTGCAGATTCAGTTACACAAATGTCAGCCCGGGCTCCTGGAAGATAGGTTTTAAAAGCAATCAGAATGTATCCTCACAGCTGGAGGCGTGATGGGGTGGGGCAGGAGAGGAGTAGATTGTCCTCCCTACTACTGGTTCTGGTGGCTTGAAAAATGTATTTTTAGCAGCTCCAAAGCATCCTAGACACACACCTCCCTCTTCGGACCATGGTAGCAGGGCGAGACATGGTGGTGCTTCAGAGGGTACCGGGAGAATGAAGCAGTCACGGTGGGGAGAAGGAACAGTTCTTACCCAAAGCATTCGACTTCCAGCTCTGTCGGTGGCCATTTCTACAGAGGTGGTGGGTCCTCAAAGGCAAATACGCCCACTATCTTGCTAGGACTTTCCTCTGATCATGCCTGTATCAGCTATTAGATAGCAAAACCAAGAAAGCACTGGCTCCACAGCAGCAAGGGACTGGCCATTGTCACATTCCCATAACTCATAATGTCTGCATCAAATGATATATTTTGCATACACAGACTTTCCAATAGTAAAATTTATTGTTGAGGCCAAAAGGAAGTTTAGGGAAGCTGGAATTTTCTAGAAGGCCAAAGGAAAGGTCTGTTCTGTGAATGATGAGATTAGAACAAACAGGATTTCTTGTGCATCTGTTCATGGAAAATGTAGACTTGAAAGAATTCTGTTCGGTCAGAATCTTGCCAAGTTAAAATGGGCGAGGCTCCTTTAATGTGAATCTTGACTGGAGCCCTGCAGGTACAGTAGACTTCAGTGCTCACGAAGGAAAAATTAACCTTGAATTTTTTCCTGCTTGTGCTATTTACACTATGAGCTTTGCATTTTTATGTTGGGGTTTTATTGGTTTAGGCAGATGAATTCATTTTAGAAGTTGCCACCATGGAGGGGAGAAGCAGCATAGCTTTTGAGGAGCAAGGAAGGCCTGGACTCATGTTTCACCCCTCCCCTGACACATCCTGGCTGTGTGACCCTGGGCAAGTCCCTTAACCTTTCAGTGCCTTGGGCCTTTCTCTAAGAAGATGCTGATCTGGACTAAAAGAGGGGATTTTCCTCATCGAGCAATTTCCTGTAACAGTGAAATCCCAAGTCCCGTCCTTCTCCTTCTCCTTCTCCCACCATGGGATGAGAAGCTTCCCAGAAAATTTTACCAAGAAAGCCTCGAGATGACTTGTTAAACCAGGGCCATTAGGTTGGCCCAGATAACTCTTAGGGTCTTTCCAACTTTGCAATTTAGCGATTCTGTTGTCCTGACAGCAGGGTTTCCCAGTGAAAGGTCACCTGGGGACTTGGAATGGGGAAGGAGCGTTTGGCACAAACTGATTGGTCTGAACTCTGGGCTTCTCAGCCTCCATTCAGGAGGCTGCTGTTCTGTTGTAACTCATCCAGAAAGGGCTGTGCCAAAACCCTTGGGGTGGCCTTGGCAAAGAAGGATACTCACCAATCAGTAGAACTTTAATGGCCGAGCATGGTGGGTAAAACTGCCTTCCCTTTGCTTCTGGTTCTGTAGAGATTTGGGGCATTCTAGATATGTAAGGGGTAACTGGAAAACCACGAGACTCATGTTTATACATATGTTTCCAAAAGGAACCCTAACCCTACATGTTGTCATGTTAAAAACACTGAGAGCATATTATATGAGTCTGATCAGGATAATCGAGAAGTACCCAGCTGGATTTGAATAAATTGAAAGTTCCAAAGTTCCTACTTCTCTTAAATGGTTTAGAAAAGTCTTGGCACCAGCTAAGCCAGCTTCAAGGAGGCCGTGTTTCCCATGTTCAGTATTGCAGAAGTATCAGGGGTAGCTTGTCCAGAGATTGGTTTGGAAGCCATGGCCTTATCAGGTGGTCTTTGATGTCTAAAAGTATCATGAAGCAGTGAAAGATAATTATGTAGCATCTCTGTTAACAACATGCCCTCTCCCTCTTCCCCCACTGCCTGGCTACCTTTGGGGGAAGCGCTTAAAGGAAAAAAAAAACATGGCTTTACAATATGGCTGCTGGAATTAACCAGAGCACAGTAATAAAAGGAGATGTCAACAGACATCCCATTCATTCAGTGAATATTTACTGAGCACTTATTATTCGAGATAAAAAATTTTAGGTGAGCTCCCATCTCTGTCCTCAGTACTTATAGTACAGTAGGGGATGGGATAAGAATAAAGCTATAGTATGCATATCATAATAATGATAAGACACTAGAAAGATATAAACCAAATGGCACCTGAGGTTTGAGAGGGAAGGTCATTACCAATTGGGGGCTCAGAGGAGGCTTTTTGGAGGAGTTGGCTCTTGAACTGGACTTTGAAGGATGTGGTGGGAGGCAGAAGAGTATTTCAGGCAAGGGGAACAGTGTGAGCCAAGGGACAGAGGCAAGAAAGCTCAGAATCTGTTGGAACGAGGGAAAGAAGTCCAACTTGGTGGGAGCATAGAGTGTGTAGAAAGTCATAAGATAGGAATGGAAGATTGCGTGGCAGTCCTTGAATGCCAGGATGAAGCATTTACATTTTATGTGATTGGCAGTAGGAAGCTAGTGAAGACTTTTGAGTGAGGTAATGGCATGAGCAGATCTATGTATAAAAAAGATTAGTCTTCCGTCAGTTTGAACTCTGAATTGGTGGGGATAGAAAGAAGAGCGAGGACGGCCTGTTTGAAGGCAACTTCTATGATCTAAGCAGGTCATGAATAGAGACTAGTATAAGGTGGTAGCAGTGGAGAGGGATGGAAAACAACTGCAGAATAGTATAGTTTGACATATATGTGCATATATATACAGATAGTTTTTGCTTTATGCAAATTCACATTATGCAAATTCTACTTTAAATAAAGAAACCTGAAAGAAATCCACATTCCCAAAAAAAACCTATGTGAAGTTGACCCGACTGTGCGCTCTCTGCTCCTGCCCCTTGGCTTGACATTCTGGGCCTTTCCCACTCCTCCTTCCACTACCCCTCCCCCTCCCCCCCAAAACAACTTTAAAAAAAAAACCTCTCCAAGTGAAAGCAGAAGAATGGAAGCTGGAAAAGACTGCCCCCAGTGACTGATCAGAGGCTTGGCTTAAGACCTCCTGAACTGAGAGAGACTTTTGCCCTGATATGTCCACTGGAAAGTATCCTGAGTATCTATCTTCCATTGGTATGCTCCTGTACCCCATGTCTTTCCCCAGCCCTGCCTGTTGCCCATCCTTTCCTGTCTGTGTCTCTGTTTGGCTCCCATGTGTCTGCCTCTAACCCCTTCTTCCTGTTGTTCAGGCTAGCACCAGCCTGGTTGCAGGGGCTGGGGAGGGGGGGAAGCAGCTTTCCTGCCTCCCTCCCTCCCTTCCCATGTCTGCAGGCAAATTCATATTACATAAAAATCACTTTAAGTAGAGGTCTATGGAATGGTCTATTTAGGTAAAGTGAGAACTGTGAGTGTGTGTGTGTGTGTGTGTGTGTGTGTGTGTGTGTGAGATAGAGTGTGGGGAAAAAAAGAGTGACTAAAATTAGATGAGGTCAATAAAAGAAGACTTTTTGGGGTTCTTGAAATAGATTTAGAAGGAAAAAAGGACATAGTTTGAGGGTAAGAAATTCAAAGGACATTTCAGATCAGAATTTCATGGAAAACACAGTTCTGGTAAGCTGGTTAATTAGAGTTTGGTGACCCCTTGGAGAGAATGACTCCCAAAGTCCTAGCACCCAAGCTGGCAGAGAAGAAACTTTGTTTCTGATACCAACTGGACTGCTAACTTATTGTGTGCCTTTGGGAAAGCCCTTTTGAGTCTCAGTTTGCCTCTCTGTAAAACGAATAGTTTGAAATCCATCTCTAAGCTCCTTCCAAGATTTGCCATCATAGAAGTCTTTGAGATGCAGTCATCTATGGAAGGAGAGATGACTTGGAAAGGCCCTCCCTGCAGCTTGGTGAATCCAGTTGCCAGTAGAAAGACCTACTGTTGAATTTCCCAACCCAAGGTGACTTTGGGCATTCTTGCAGGGGGTGGTGGAAAGTGGGGCTTTCTGGGGACATTCTCCTTTGACTTTTGCTGTAACTCACTATCGTGACTAGACAGTGAGCCTTCTTGCCTGTCTTTGCTGCAGGTAAACATCTCAGCTATAGGTTAAGCTAGGAAAGGCTTCTTGGTTTATATTTCTGCTATCTTCAGCTTCTGCCACAAGTAAATGCTCAAAACACCCTGGAATTTGTATTCTATTAACGTAGGAAAGGACAGTGCTCGACTGATGTCTTCTGATATTTACAATTCCTTGTATATAGCAAGTAGAAGTAAATGGGGTTTTTTGTGCATCCGAAACAACCTTACATTAAAGTAATTTAACACTCTTGAGGAGTCTGCCAATGAATAGTAAAGTGAATTTTAAACCTCAGCACAAGATACAGTATGATGTGGCAAAAAAAGTGGTAGGTTTTAGAGTCCTCAAAGAACTTGGATCTGAATCCCTCCAGTCATCTCCTCCATGTGTTAACCTTGCGGGAAGTTACATCCCCTCTCTGGGTCTCAGTTTCTTACTTTGTAGAATGACTGGGTTTCATTAGGTCATCTCCAAGTTTCCTTCCAACTCAAAAGCTAAGATTGGAGATGTATAAAATTCCAGTCTAAGATGAGAAGTGTATAAAGTATTTAAGGACATCAAGGGCTCGATTCAAATGTACCATTTTGTGATCTCTCTCTCTCTTTCTTTTTTAAAATCAAGTGATGCAGTTTGGAAAAGGAAAGTCCTGTTACTATCGGTTCCTGACAAAAGGCCAGCAGTGGATTTGGTTGCAAACTCAGTATTACATCACTTATCACCAGTGGAATTCCAAGCCTGAATTCATTGTTTGCACACACACTGTAGTTAGGTAGGAGATTTTACTTAGTGCTTTTAAGAAAAAAAAACAAACTCTGTGTTTGTCTATTCACTTTTCCCTTTTGGTTAGAAGGTAAATATTTTACCATCTGTATGGTCTTAACTGTAAAACTAATTCATGGAAGAACTTGGAAAATTGGCATGTCAGACTTGGCTTTCACTTCTTAATGTCCAGGTCATTGGAATGCAAGTCAACCATAGCTGCAGCTGTTAATGCTCTGTTGGTGTGAACAACAATGTTACGTGTAGACATTCATCATATCCATTGTCTCTTTCTCTCAAATGATTTTGATATTGGGTACAGAGCTACTCTGCTACCTAAAGAGAGATCTGGAGATTTTCCTTTTTTTTTTTGTACAGAGGGCACTTAGTTTCAATTTATAGGCAGCCTTTAGGCTGAGGATATATCTATCTCGATTCATTTGGTGCAAGCTTTCTGATTGAATCAAAAAGGTTGCTTCTGTGAAAGAAGTGATCAGTTTCATTTTTAAAAACACAGCTGTTTGCATGTGCAGATATCTATGTACAAGCTATATTAAGATTTCCATGACCTAAGGTTTACATAAGAGGGTCTATTAGGGATTAATTCCATCTAAAGTTATGTTTACAAGATGCTGAAACATGCAATCAGATCTTCAGGTCGGTAAGAAATGTGTCTAATTGATTTGGTTGACATTTGTAAACAGAGTATCCAGAAAACCCAATTAAATTGACCAGATGTTTTGATGCCATGTAAATAATCACTTCTAAAATATATTTTAAAAGGCCCAAATATATGTACATCTATATGTATAATCAAACTGTCTTCACATTTCTGAAATCAGAAATATATGAATTCAGCCAAATAGAATTAAGACTAGAGATCTTGAAAATATCGAATGGAAAATTTCCATTGTCCTTCCCTTTTTGAATGATCAGGTCCCTGGCCCTTTTCATTTCTTGGCTTCTGTCTCCATCAGGGGACTCACATATGTCATTGCACTGCTAGCTTGCTCATTTATGACCTTATTTTTCATGTGTGTCCTATCATATCTATGAAGTATAGATTTTCATCCTTGGAAACCACAGGGATTTTTGCTCTCTGATATTCACCAGAAACTCCTCTGGAATGGAAATGCACTGCTGCAATGATTCCTTCTCTGTTGGTAAACTTGTGATTATGCTTGCAACACTCCCCTCCAAACAACTTTAAAACAATAAATATTGCTTGAATGAGCCTGGGGCTAGTGGGAAATAAACTGTCTTCCACGAAGATGAAGCTAGAGTCTTACCACAGCCATGGGGATTCTCATTTCTCAGGCAATGAAAATGAATTGCAAATGCACCAAAGAAGGGAGGCTTTTTAGAATTACAGTAAAACCAAATAAAATTTGGGCTGAAGTAGTTGGGCTTTTAAAGGCTGAGTAATGGAGAGTTCACCCACATGCCATCTGTTAGCACAATCAGTGAGGCAGGACAGTTGAGCTGTGAGAGTGGGCAGACAGCAGCAGCTGCTGTCATTAGCCCTAATGAGGGTACCAGCCTCTGACCCAGTCCAAGGCTTGGCTGTTGGTGGCTTAGAAAAGTAGAGATTGGCTGCACCTGGGAGCTGCTGTTCCCTAAGCCAGCCTCTAAACTATATAGTGGATGCTGTTATAAGAGAGGCAGATGAGGCCCAGCCTTGGTAGAGCAGTGAGGCTATGAGGAGTCTAGTTCCCCGGGTAATTTTCTCTGTGTGTTCCTTGAGAGTGCCATGCCGTGGGTTGTGCAATAATCCAAACCACAGAGAATGGAAGAGCCCTGGACAGTGGTGACTCTTTGCTACATGGCTATGTTCGTAGCAATATCTTCTGTGCCCTTCTGTATTCAGACACTGCCTCTGATGCTCACCAGCTGGGTGACCATGGTCAAGTCACTTCGGTTTCCTTCTCTGGAAACTAGGGAAGGTGACACCTATAGTACCTCTCCCATGGTTGTTGTGAGGCACAAAGGAGAATGGAAATCCATAACATAGATTTTATCTCTCAGTGTCAGATTGTTGTGACTGTATCTGCGAATAAGATTAAGCTCTGAAGTACCACCGAGGAAAGTTGACTCTCTCTTGTTTTGTCTAGTTATGCCCAGATTCAGGCTGAAAGAAGAAAAGAACTTGGGCTTGAAGAGCCATCGGCAACAGAAATGGCCACTGTACCCTTCGAGGTACGTAGATGGAAAGCCACAAAGACTTTTCCTGGGTTAAATTTCCACACCCTTTCTTGTGGTACTGTTCATGGTACTGTTGGGGGTAATTGTCCATTCCAGGTCCCAGCTCCAAACCCCCACCTGTGAGTTTCTTTGTACCAGACCAAGCCTGATGACATAGAAATCCAAACCAAGGACATTTAATGAAATAACAAGGAATCAAATTGGGTATTGAGCACTCTTGGCACCCATTCCCAAATGGCTGCTACCTTCAGCATGTCTCCTGGAAATACTAGTGGCATCTCAATGAACCCTTCTCTGTCCCCGACACAGCAAGAGAAGGACATATCAGTTCACCCGCAGATAGGTGCATGGCTCTTAGGCACAACAACTAGGGAGCAATGTGGAGATCACTTTTGGCATTACTTGGTACAGTAAGAGTAGCAGTCTCATGTGCACTAACCCCTTTCTGTGCTGAAGCCTACAATTTTCCCTGATTCTCCCAGTTGTTAATGTCTTCCTCCAAATTAACTGTGTTCATTTTGTTTCTCTCTTGTATTTACTTATCCGTGAACATGTTGTTGATCCCTAGTAGTATGGAAGCTCCCTGAGGGCAGGCACTGTCTCACTTGTGTAGCTGTGTCCCTAGCGCTCAGAACAGTGCCTAGTACACTGCAGGTGCTTAATAAATGCTTGTTGGTTGGGATATACTGGCCTCTGTTGGTGCTGCAGAATCTTTTGCTGCACATCTTTGGCCCGGCCTGGACAAAGTGAGTGTTTTTTCCTTCTGTCTCTTTTATGTCTTCACATCCCCAGCATCCCTTTGCTTAAAGCATGCTTACCCAACTCAGCGTCCTTGGGTGGATAATATCACTATGCTGCAGAGTCCACAGTGACTTCTAAGAGGTAGCATCCAAAGAGAATTTCCTCCAATGAGGAAGGCTTTCTCAGCTTCAAGCATTATGGGAAGGGGGTCCATGCACAGACACTCCCAATTGTTTCAGAATAGAAGCTTAAGTAGTTTAATACTTCATTAAGCCAGAATATGTGCAAGCATTTCTCTTTAAGGCTTTCTTTCTCATAAATTAATTTCTTTTACTTGCTGCTTTGGCCCATGTGGGCTCATGAAATTTCTTGAGATGTATAGTAAAAATCAGTAGAAGCTAGGTCCTTTATTTCAAATGTAAAGTACTACAGGATGGAATTTGTTGGCCAATATTCTCCTTTTGAGAAAATACAGAATCTTTACCTATCTCTCCAGCCCCTCAGGGCACGTCTGGTCTGGCTCCATGGTGACTGGGGCCAGATGCCTTGGGGCTCCTAGTAAGGACAGTTATTTTCTCCTAATTTATTTATTTTTGTTTTTCTCAATTACATATGAGCAAAACATTTTTAACATTTTTAAAAAATTTTGAATTCCAAATTATTTCCCTCCCTCCTCTCCTCCATACTTGAGAAGGCAAACAATTTGATATAGACTAACATGTACAGTCATGAAAACCACATTGCAAAACATGTTGCAAAACAGAACATAAACTAAAAAAAAAAAACAAAGCAACCCAAGGATAATAAAGTAAAAAAAGTCTGCTTCACTCTGCATTCAGGCTCTGGCAGGTCTTTCTCAGGAGGTGGATAGCATTTTTTATCATAAGTTCTTTGGAACTGAAAGACTGATATTTTTAATGACAGTTCAACAAACATTTATTAAGAATCTTCTATGTGGGGGAAGTATACATTCATTACCTTTGGAAGTAGAATATTTGAATAAGACAAGGTGCCAGGCCTCAGGGAGCTTATACAGAATCTCTTGAGGAGGGGGGCTTGGTGACAGTTCTACACATTTGCATAGGACTCTTTCCGCCTCTTGAGGTCCATAGACCTTCCATTTAATCTGGGGCCCCACGGAGGCCTCCTTGCCTCAGGCCACGCCCATCCAAATGCCTTTAGGATGAGAAAACTCAACCCTAATTTTAGACATTCTGTGCAAACTTCATTTTTTCCCTGTTCCAGATGACTTTTACAAAGTCAGGGTGAGCTAAAACAGAGGTGTCAAACAGGCATCCACAACCCAGTGAGGCCTGAACTCGATTACAATGTAATTGGGAAATATTTAAGAAAATAAATAAAAATCCAGTAAACCACAGATAACTTTACATTTTAAAACCAAGTCAATATGTGCCTGGCCTTCGGGGATCTTTCTGTAGGGATTAGTGGCTCCCTTCTTAGTTGAGTTTGATCTATTAAGAGAGAAATGTTGAAAGAGCCTGTGATTGTCTCCCTGGCTACAATTTCCCTTAGTTAGAGCTCTTTCACCTCATTTGCATCGTAGACCCCTTGGACAGTTTGGAAGAGCCTATGTCCCTCTCCTCGGGAACATGTTTTTGGATATATAAAATATAGATGATTGCAAAGGAAACCAGTTATGTTGCCATACTGTTATCAAGGTATTATAAACAAATAAAAAACCAACTGCTTTACAGCCTCCAGGTTAAGAATTCCTGGACTAGATAAATCTGGAAAAGCCTTGCACTATGATTCTGCATTACATATGCATTTATTCAATTTAACAAACATTTCTAAAGCACCTACTCTGTGAAGAATACCATGCTAGTAGGTCTAAAACCACCAAGTGCTAACTCCCACCTTCTTACTCTGGCCAGGGAACATGAGCATATGTGAGCGATCCTAGTAAAGAGAGCCCTTTGGTGGACTTCCTTCTCATCCTCTCCCCTAAACCTGTGGGGTTTGGGATGTAGCTACCAGTATAAGGAGAACTCACTGCCATTCTTTGCTGCTGCTGGCTTATCCCACTCAGATCCCATTGCAAAGAATTTGCTTTGTTTGGCCTTTAGACTTTAACCAATTTGTTTATTGTGATGTTGTCAAAGGCTCTGTGTTGCCATCCTTGTTTGAGCTTATTTTGAGAATGCATAGCTTACAATAATGCCCATGATCTCTGCCCTTTGTCCCATTCAATCATTTTTAGGTGCCACATGAGAATGAGTGGTTCCACGTAGGCACTAAATTGTTAACAGCAATTTCCAAGATTGGGTAAATGTAATATGTGTGAAAGAGCCCCACTTTGGGTAGACTGGTCTGTTGAGTTTGGGGGTTATTTTTTTTTCTTTAAAGTGAAATGTTTTATGTTGTTTTCTTTTTCTCCTAAACAAACAAAAAAAAATAGAGTTCTAATAGTTTCACGGATATCTCCCAGTGTGGAAACAGCCTGGACGTGGGTAGAGAGAGAGCATCTGGGTCATCCCATGGCTCCTGCAGGCCATCCGTCACGGTCCTATCCAGTTCAACCTGTACGTATACTGCAGGGTTGGCTCTTACGATGTTGCCCAAGAAATCAAGATTTACAAAGTAGGAGCCGTCACAAGGAAAATGCTCCTGTAAATGCTCCTCTATTTGACCATCAAAGCTCTTATGAATTTCCCTAATCTTTGGATTTTGAGAGTTGTTGCGGGAGAGCCAGAGCCACACCAAAAATTGTTTTATCAGTGGTTAAAATGTTAGCACATGTAATATTTTATCAGCTGCCCCTTTCACTTGCATCTGATAAGGATTTATAGTATTTCTCACACTCCTCTGGAGGAATAGTGTGAGTTTCTTCGTTTTTCTCAATTGTACACATTGACATAGTCCAGTTGTAGGTTTTGTTATTAATTGTTGATGGCATGTTGCTTTATTTCTTTCTTTGTTTTTTATTTGTTTTTCAAGAAATGGCATTTGAGGAGCATTGGAGACCCTGGGGGGGTTAGTCATCCACTTCAGAAATAGTAGAAATGTGGGGGAAAATCATTGTGCCCAATTCCAGTGGGGCATCACAAGGTTATCCTGGGCAGGTGTAACTTCCTGGGCACTGATGCCTTTGAGCAAGTTGGTTCTGTTTTTTTCTTCTGGGGTTTTATAACCAGTGAACTCTCAGAATTTACTAGTCTTAAATATAGTTGGGTAGGAGAAGGAGTGCGTGACCTCTTTTAGGGAGAAGGAGTGAGAAGAGAAATGGTAATCACATGTGCTTCTGCTCTTGGGACTGCTCCATCTCTAGTGGCTACGTGTGTCAGAGGAGGGCAGCCAGGCTCAGCTGCTGTCAGAATCTTGGGACGGTGAGGCTAAACGTGGCTACCAGGGGACCTTGACTCTGCTGTCATGGAGCCCTAGTGAGTAGGCACCAGCAAGTGACAGCAGTAGAAGAGAGAGGTGGACTGGTTCCCAATGGGACAAGACTAATATGGAGATTCTTTTGTTACATGGAGCTTTGATAGATGTCAGTAAGAGAGCCAGGTAGGTTTGAGACTGGGGAAAAAGGAGAGGAAGATGTGAAGTTGGGCCTTCCACTGGGGGCTTCTTGGCAGTGGCGGGGAGGAGAGACCATAGCCCAAGTGCGAGGGATAGCCTAGATCAGGGGTAGGGAACCTGCAGCCTCAAGGCCACATGTGGCCCTCCAGGTCCTCAAATGCGGCCCTTTGACTGAATCCAAACTTCACACAACAAATCCCCTTAATAAAAGGATTTGTTCTATAAAACTGGGACTCAGTCAAAAGGCCACACCTGAGGACCTAGAAGGCCATAGGTTCTCTACCTCTGTCCTAGCAAAGGGACCACATTCCTGAACTGCTTCACAAGTTTGCAAAGTGCTTTCCAGAATACATCTGGCTTTTACAGGTCCTTTCAACTTTAAATCCTATGACCTCTTGGGATAGGGAGGGCAAATTTATATCCCCTTTTTGTGGATGTCAAAACTGAGTTTTGGAGAGATGAAAATCACTCAACTAGTACATATCAGAGTCAAGACTTGAACCCAGGGCTTCTGACTCCAGCACTATCGTGGTTGGTTTTCATTATATCTTGCCATTGCAGGGCACAAAGAATGGGGGTGGGGCATGCAGGATGTCCTTGAAGATAACATAATAGGATAGTTGAGGTAAAAAGGGGTGGGTGGGCTGCAACATTCACAGTGCTGTTATGTTTAAAGGTGGAAAAAGGACCAGGAGCTATACATTGCACAAACCCAAATGAATGTAGGAGTAGAAGCACTCTGGCGGGAGGCAGAGAGAGAGAGACTCAGCTCCTCGAAGTGACCTCTTGAACTGTGGAGCTTTCTAAAAGTGGTGGTGGGCCTCCATAATAACATACCCTGAATGGGATATTCTGAAGGCAGCTGAGTTAGAAATGGACCAAGTTCCAGGTAAAAGGGTTGGCAAGTCTGCTGAGGTTTTCAGTTCAGGTTAAATTGTTAAGGGCTGAGATTTCCCTTTGTCCGTGATTTAAAGTGCCGAGAATGGTGTTAGCAGAATAGTGTGGACAGTTAGGTTTCAGAGGACTAATGGAAAGTGAAATATTGCCCTTACATGTCTGTAGGACCTTTGAGTTCACATGTATTAGATCATCTGAACCTCACAACTTTGTGAGGGGGGCAGGGCCCGCATTTTACAGATGAGGAAACTGAGGCCCAGAAAAGTCAACTGGTTTCCCCAAGGTCCCATAGCAACTTAGCAGCAGAACTAGGACTGGACCCTAGGTCTTTAGACTCTAAGCCCAAGGTGCTCTTCTGCTGTGGCCTACTTCCCTGAACCACTTGGCAGAGTCCTTTTTCTTTAAAATTATAGGTAACACAGTGCAACTTTGCCATCTGGAGGTGGGTTGTAAGTGGATTTAGTGTTCTCTTTTTGAGGATCATATGATATCTTTCTTGCCAGGAGCAGAAATTCTCAAAACAACCCTTTTCTCTGCCGCATGCCCCCAGCTCAGTGATCCGGCCACTGTAGAGTTGTAGGAAGGAAGAGAGAGTTGATCTTTTTTACAAAATTGGGGAACAGAAAGTAGCTGGTGAGGAGTCTAGAGATGTTTGTGTTCCAGGTCTGAGCAGACAGGTGCAAGGCCCCACTCGTGCCTCTGTGGATGGAATCCAATCCACTCCATGGCTGCCTTTTTTAGAAATGAGTTCTTAGCAAATGTTTGCATGCTGTGCAGAGGGAGTCCAGGTGCTTAGAGGCGTCATCAGCCCATCAGCCTATCTCTCCCATCTTCTAAGGAAAAGAAAATAGGATGGGACTTAGTCATGAGATTAAAAAAAAAAAATCGCCCTGTTCTCCTTTCTACTACTGAGCTTCTGATTTTGTTTGTTGCCTGTTGAATCTCTCCCTCTCAGCCAAATTGTCACTGCAGCCCAAAAAAGCCAGCAAGACACCAGTGAGGTGGGCTCTGCCCATGGAGCAACCAGCTAAGACATTTGATGAGGCATTCTCTGGGGAGGTAGCCACCACCAGCAGCAGCAGCAGCAGCAGCAAAAGCAACGAGGTACCTCCCTCCAGGCTACTTGGGGTAGGGGGGAGCCTCCATTCCCCTGCCACAGTAGTGGAACAGTCTCTGTATTATGGGAGAACAAACTCGTCTTGTTGGACCTGAAATCCTCTAGCAAATCACCCCTACTAACAACCTTTGGGGGCATTGGCATCACCCCTGCTCAAGTCATTTACTTGTTCATTCCTTGATTCAACAGAAATGTATTCAGGTCCCTTCTCTGTGATTAATTACCTGTGCTAGGTGCTGGGGAGGGGGAGGAGGCAGGGGAATACAGAGTCCTTGCTTGTCTGAAATAACTTGGATACCTAATAAAATGTGCTAAGTATGTAAGAGCTTGTATAGTCTGGAGGTCAGAAGAGGGAGAGGACCCTTCTGACTGGGTGGAGGAGTGCAGGGCAGACCAGTGAAGGCTTCATGGGGCCAGTGGCACCAGAGCAGGGCCTAGGAGGCTGGGGAGACTTTCCATTGGATATTTGGATGTCATCTTTATTTCTGTTCACTTGGTTTCTGAAACCAAGCAGGAGGTAGAAGAGAAGGACCTTTGAAACCAGAACATTTAAGGATACCTCTTGCTCCCAGGGAAGTGAGGGAACAATCTTTGCTTAGGCCAGTGTTTGGTTTTGTTTTGTTTTTTAAATCCTTCTCTTCCTTATTTTTTTTTTCTTTCTCACTTTTTTATTAATTTATTTTGAATTATCAGCAATCACTTCCATGAGCTTTTGAGTTTTCAATTTTTCTCCCCCTCCCTCCCCACCTCACTCCCTAAGATGACACACAATCTGATACAGGCTCTACATATACATTCCTATTAAACATATTTTCACATTAGTGATGTTGTAAGGAAGAATTAGAACCAATAGGAGGAACCACCAGAAAGAGGAAACAAAATTCAACAGAAGAAAAAAAAATAGCAAATAGTATGCTTCGATCTGCATTCAAACTCCATAGTTCTTTCTCTGGATGTGGATAGCATTTTCCATCAACAGGCCTTTGGAGATGTCTTAGATCCTTGCATTGCTGAGAAGGGCTAAGTGTATCAAAGTTAGTCATCGCCCAATGTCGCTGTTACTGTGTACAACGTTCTCCTGGTTCTGCTCACTTCACTCAGCATCAGTCCATACAAGTCTTTCCAGATTTTGCTGAAGTCTGCTTGGCTCATCATTTCTTATAGCACAATAGTATTCCATTACATTCATATACCACAACTTGTTTAGCCATTCCCCAATTGATGGGCATCCCCTCAATTTCCAATTCTTTGCCACCACAGAAAGAACTGCTATTAATATTTTTGTACATGTGGGTCCTTTTCCCATTTGCATGATCTCTTTGAGATGTAGCCCTCGAAGTGCTATTGCTGGGTCAGAGGGTATGCACATTTTTATAGTCCTTTGGGCATAGTTCCACATCACTCTCCAAAATGGTTGGATCATTTCACAAGTCCACCAGCAATGCATTAGTGTTCTAATTTTTCCACATCTTCTCCGACATTGATCATTTTCCTGTTTTGTCATGTTGTAGGCCAGTGTTTTCCATCAGTCTTAGAGGTTCATTCTGCCCATCCTTGGGGAGAAAGTGGGAAAGAGAAATGGGGAATTGGGGTAGATATGGAAGAAGGTTGGTGGCAAGATAGGGAAGCTTGGCAGGTATTCCCAGAGCACCTTCATTATTGAAGTTCAAAGATTGTGAATTTCCACAATATTAGATACATACCCAATGAAGCAGAAATGCCTTAATGCAGAGCTTAGCAAGAGTTTAATACAGAGCTCTGCACCCTGCACTCCAGTGTCAAGGCAGGTTCTTAAAGGGATTCGATTCAGCAAGCATTAATTAAGCACCTATTATGCACAAGGGTCCATGCTAGGTACTAGATGAGGAAACGGGCCTAGAGAAGGGAAAAAAGTAGCAAAGGTCCATGGTCCAAGAGGAAACAAATAGATCTGGGCCGAACACCAGGTCGTCTGACTCTATCTCCAGTCTTCCTTCATTGTACCACCCTGCCTCCCTGTATCCGCCAGGCTCAGATTCAGAATTCCATGAGGCTTTACTAGATCACATACTGTCTTCTTTTGTTCTCTTGCTGTTTTCCATCTGTATTACTAATCTCCCCAAACAAAATTGACCACCACCACCACCAACAATAATATCACCACTACAACTACCACCACTAATAACAGTGTCATTCCCCCCCCCCCACCGGGATTGTGCTGTGGCTTCTACTTCCTTCTTTCCTTTGGTGTGCTCAGTACCTAACTGAGTATACTGTATGAGCTCAGGCAGGCCATGTTGATTTGCCCTGTTGACTTGATATCAGAAAGCTATTTCTTCACATATCAGACCCCCTCCCCTCATTGTGAATGCTCTGAAATGGCTACCCCAATGGTAAAGGCAAGCAGTATGAGGCTTCTCATTCATTCCTGTCTCTGCTTTCTGTCCCTCCCCAGGGCCTGGAGTTTCTCCAAACCTTCACTGAGCATCTCGCCGCACACCATGTGGCCTCAAGGAGAATACCCATGGTATCTTCTGAACCAGAAGCTATGGTATTTTTCTTTCAACCTTATTTTCCTTCCAGATGAAGAGACAAATTATAACATGAAATAGCATGAGACAGAGTGAAATAACATACTTGGAGAAGGAGCTTTTTTCCATTTTTTTTTCTTTTTGCCCCTTAGTCTTTTACGTTTTTCCACTTCAGGTGAACAGGCTTAATGACATTAGTTGTTTCTAGTCTCCTCACCCCATTTTAATTCTTCTTACCCAAACTGTTTTTAAACAGTCTCCTTCCTTAAATTGTGACGTGAGTTGACTGTATTGTCCCAGTTAGGAATTGGGGAAGGGGATGGAGTAAGGGGGTGTTGTTGACAGCCTGTATTAAGTAACTTGCCCAAGGTCACACCAAATAAGCCAGTGAACCAAGAGGAGAAGATAGGGAGGAAGAGAAGGAAAAGAAGGCTTTGAACAACCATGCTGCATCAGAATATCTAGTGGCGCTGAGCTTAGGCCATAGGGTTAGCATGGTATCTGCTTTGTAGGCTTCGGGCCTAGAGTCAGAGTGAGGACGAACTCTGTTCTTGGAATCTGGAGATCTGAGTTTAAAGCCTGGATCTGACATTACCGGCTCTGTGACCTTAGGCAAATTACCTTAATTCTCCCTTAATTCTCTCTGGATGTGGGGCCTTAAAAGCCAGATAATCATACTTGCCCTACCTGGTATTTCATAAACCTTTCAGTGCTTTAGAAATGTTTTCTGCAGCTTCTCTCCTACCCTCTTGGAGGTGGGGGGAGTGGTGTGATGTACAGTTTGGAAGAATGCGTAGAATAAAGAGCCATGTTCCAATAGATTTCTGCTGGATTAGCAGGCCCGACTCAGGGTTGAGCCGTGGCCTCCTCCGCTTCTGAAGGCGGCTGCTGAGAGTGGGCAATCAGAGAGAATAGAATTCTTGCCCCTTCACATGGCAAGCAGAGACTTCCCCCCAATCCCAAGCCATCAAAATGCCACTTTCATGATGATTCATCTAAATGCTCAGCAAAGAGGCAATTTTCCAAGATGAACATTAGATTGTTCCGAGTAAAAAGGAATGGTATTAACTTAAACACTGTAATTTATATTACTAACAAGAGAGCCAGATTAGATTCTGAATTTGCCTCAATGGTGTTTGTGACCCCATCTGAGAGCAAAACTTTGTGGGTTTCTTTCCTGCCTCTTTGGATGCTGTGTTGCATAATGGAAAGAGCTCTGGCCTGGCAAGGCAGGAGACTTTCCATTTCAATGCTGGCTCTGCTGTCAGCGCGCAAGTGCCTTCTCCTCTGAGCCTCAATTTCCTCCTCTGTAAAATGGAGAAGTTGGATGAAATCTATCAGATGACATGTGGGGTCCTTCTCAGCTTAACATTTAGAGTTCATAGAGCTGAAAGGCCCCTTAGAAGTCATCTGGTCCAGCATACTCATTTTACCAGAGTTGAGGAAACAGAGACCTGGAGGGATAGGGATTGGCCTAGTGTCACAGTCAGGATTTGAACCTCTTGTCCTCTGCCTCTCCACGGGCGCTCTTGCACCATATTATACTTATGACCCCCATTTCCCTGGCCTGCATCTGGAAAGAATTGGGCCCAGCTTTTTCCAACCAGTGGCTTCTCTTTGCAGCCTATATTGCCCTCCCCAGAGGAGCTTGGGGCTATGCAGCAGCTCAACGAAGAACTGGAAGGACAAACTCGGGTGTTACAGGCTGACATAGAAACCCAGAGGCAGGAACTCCACGCAGTCAAGAAATGTCTGCAGACTGTGGAAGATCCTGACTTCCAGGTGCGTCAACAAGGGACACTCGGCTCCTTTGCGGCAAAGATAAAGCCTGGCCTGCACCCTGAAGAGAGCACATCTCTTTCCTTGTCACTGCCTGTGTGTATAGTTCCATTTTCCTTAAGTAATTCACAGTGTGTTCTGTGCATTCTCATTTTTAGCCCCAGGTCAAAGATTTGGGAAATAAGCCCTTTCTCTGCTTTAGCTCCCACTTGGCATTCTTCTTTGGAGGAGCAGGAGGATTGTCTGTATATGGGAGAAAAAAAGTCCGAGCCCCCACCTGGCCTTTTCTTTGCCACGTGGAAGCTCCCTACTTAATGGTGTAGCTGATTCTGAGAGGTTTGTTGACAAATTGGAAGCAGCACTTAGAGTGGGCTTCTAAAATGAAGCGTGAGGCCTTGAAAAGGAAGCATTTTTGCTGGGGGATTTGTTAGACTGCAAACCTGTCTCTGTTGCTTTTTCAGTCAGGACTGGCCAAAACAAATCATAGGAATGGTTGCACGTATGGTAGAGTCCTGTTTAGTGCTGGAGGAGATAAAGAGTTTAGGAAAGACCCAATCCCTGCCCTCATGGAGCTTGCAGTCTAGTGGAGGGATATGAGAGAGAGAGAGACAGAGACAGAGAGAGAGAGAGAGAGCTTTTACGTATGATAAATACATTAGAAATACAGATCCAGTGCTTTGGAAGGTCCGAGAGAGCAAATCAACAGGACTGAGGAGGGCATGAGGAAAAATTCCATATGGGAGGGGAGGGGGCAACTGGATTAGACTTGAAAGAATGGGTCCCCTAAGGACCCAGTGAGTGCCAAGATCAAAGGTACGGAGGCAGGGAGTTTAGGGTCTATTTGCAGCAGAAAGTCTGGTTTGCCTCCCTGTGGTCCAGGTACACAGGTCACATCTCAGAAAGCTCTTCCTAGCTTGGACTCTCCTGAACTAAGTCATTTTCAAACTGTTTGACTTTTAAGGGTCCCCTGGAGGCATAGTTCCCTTTCCAATTCAATCAATGAACTCATTTACCACTCATAAAGGCAGCTGCTGGGCATGGCTGGGCATCTTTTAGTTAGTTTAACACCTCATTATCTTCTTTTACTTTCTTTGATTGCATTCTGGGCTTTCTGATCAGGGAGGGGTCAGGAAGTGACCAAAGACACATTCCTTTCTAGCGGTAACAGGCTTTGGAGAAATTAGGAGGAAAGATACCATGTTGATTTTTCAGAAATGCTGCATTTTGAGGGAGGTCAATCACCACATGTGGTGGCAAATTGACACACAGTTCAAGGTAATGCAGGCCAGCTGCCCTGTAGAGAATAGTCCAGCATAATGCACAAATGCACTGCGGGATTATCCGTGTTGATCAAAATGAGCCCATTCTCTCAAATCTGGTGAGCAGTGTGCTCTTGAGCCTCTTCGGCTGAGCTGCTGGGGGGTGGGTTTGTTTTCTCCTTTGGCCCTCAAGTCCCAATATGGGCCAGGGTTGGGTATACCAGACTGCTAGGCAAGGGAGCATCCAGGAATCCAGGTCAGGGTTCATAAGGTCATAGGATCCTAGACCGAGAGCCAGAAGGGACCTGAGAGCTCATTGAACCCAATTCCCTCATGCTATAGTGGCAGCCCAGAGAAGAGAAGTAACTTGCTCAGGGGCACACAGCCAGAAAGTGTTGGAGGTAGGATTGGAACCCAAGTTTGCCCGACTCCCGAGGCCAGACCTGTCTCCCCTTCGCCACATTCCTCCTATGCAAATGCAAAGAATAGTAGCTGTGGCAAACAGGGAGCCAGGTCAAGACCGGGAGGCATCTAGTAAAGCTCTGAGATCACTGGAGAGTAGGTCTAGACTGTGAGGTCCCACTTGCCCCTAAAAGTCTCTCCTATTGTCCTGGAAGTGCCTGAAATTCCCACCATTAGGGTCAGTGCCTCAGGTTTCAGTGTCTCTTCCCTGAAGTCTTGGCTAAAGATGTACATATATGTGTCCTAGGATGGAAACATTCACAAACTATGCTGGATTATTTTCTCAAACAAGTTAGCTGTCGCTTAGTAAGGAATGGGAGATAAGGACAGCTAAATAAGTAAGGAAAAAGGCCAAGGCTGGGGAGGCCTGAGGAGGAGGCCTCAGTAGGGGAGCTTCAGGCTGACAGGAGGACACTAGGTGTGGGGGACCCTAAGAAAGGAGAGTGGGTGGGCCCTGAAGGCAATCTGTCCGCTGAAGATGGAACCTGAGTCTACTAGAAACCTTCTGGGGGAGAGAAAACCCAAGCAATTGAACTTTTCCCCCAAGTGATGGGTGATAAAGCAGCAGACATGAGCAGTGAGTGAGCAGCACCCAGCCACCAGACTGAGTTTGGAGCAGTCACGTTTCCTATTAGCTCAAAATCCTGAGTCATCTCAGAGTTCATGTGATAGAAGTTGTTGATAGGAATATTTTCGCCAGTAACAATCACCCTCACTCTTAGGTTCCCAGTGCCCTAAGGCTTACCAAGCACTTGCCTTCCCCCAATAGGGAGGCCAGCAAGCAAGCCACATGTGGCCCTTTCTTGTCTTTGGGTAACCTTTGTGTCTTGGCAACTTCACAATTGGTGTTTGGGGATTAACTCCAAAGGAATTGGTCTGACATTTGGAAACCACTTAAGATGAAGTAGGAAGAAGGGTGGAGGTGATGCTGGTCACCAGGAGTACAAGGAAGGTATGGAGGCCCACTTTTGTTGGGTGGATGTTGTTGGGTTTTTTTTTTTCCCATTAAGTCTTTGAAGCTTAAGTTTCAAAGAAATTAAATGTCTGGCATGCAACCTTAAGGTTTGCAAAGCTCTTTACGAATGATATTATCTCATTTGATTGTCACAACAACTCTGTGAGGTACAGTCTGTTATTATCCCCATTTTAGAGATGAGGAAGTTGAGGCTGAGAGGCTAAGTGACTAGCGGGGTCACACAGCTAAATAAGTATCTGAGAAAGGATTCAAACTCAGGTCTTCCTGACTCACTATGCCACCTAGCTGCCTGAGTTTTAGGACAGGCAAAGAGGCATGTCCTATCACTGATCATACCTTGCCAAACTTGAACCCCAGGTCATTCTTATCATCTGACTCCTTTGCTCCTATTCACATGTTAACTGAAAGGAGCTGGAGGAAGTCAGGAAACCTTGCCGATTGAATTGGCTGCAAATTTAGGGTATCTAATCTCTGTCTGGCCCTTGGGCAGCAAGGCAGTCCTTCTACTGCTCTCAAATTGTTTTTCTGGTCCCCGTGCCTCATCAAAGGTTCTCTCTCTTCCTGCCTCTCATGATGCCCCCTCCCCTTACCCCCTATTCTCAGTGAGCTTCGCCTCCCTTCTTCTTTACCTCACATCTCTTTGCCAGTGGCCTCCCACCCTATCTTCTTGCCAAAGCCATGCTCCCTTTCTATGTACCCTCCATCCTCACATCTTTTCCAGCAGATTGCCCCACCAGCATCCCCACTCTATCTAATAATCTCTAATCTCTCCCCATTTACTGGTTCCTTCCCGTTGCCTACAAGCACACTCGAATCTCCACTGCTCAAAAACCCTTCACTTGGTCCTCCCATTCCATCAAGTTATCATCCTAGATCTCTCTTTCTCTTCTCTGATAAGCTCCTCGAAAGAGTTGTTTATTCTCTGTGCCTCTCTTGTCCTCTCATCATCCTTCCCGTCACCCAGGCTCCAAACCTAGGTTTCATCCCCGACTCCTCACTTGTGCTCACCCTGTATATCCAATCTGTTTCAAGTCTTGTAGTTTCTACCTTCATAACATCTGTCAAATCCCTCTGTCCTCTGACACTGTCCCCACTCTGGTGCAATTCCTCATCATCTCACACCAGGACTACTGCAATAGCTTGCTGGTGGGTCTGCCTGCCTCAAGTCTCTCCCCACTCCAATCCAGCCTTCATTCAGCCACCAAAGTTATCTTCCTAAAGTGTAGGTCCAGTTATGGCACTCACCCTCCAGCACATAGACTCCAATTCTTATTACCTTCAGGATTAAATATCAAATCTTGGATTTGAAAGCTCTTCACAACCTGGTTCCTTCCTACCTTTCCAGTCTTCTTGCTCCATACGCCCTTCTACACACGACCCAGCTACACTGGCTTCCTTTCTGTTCCTTGCACATGACACTCCATTGCTCCACACGACTGCGTCTTTGTCCTGGTTGTTCTCCGTGCCTGGAATGTTTTCACTCCTCACTGCCACTTCTTGGCACATGTGATTTCCTTTAAGACTTAGTCATTCCTACCCCACCCCCACCTGTTAGTGTCTTCCCCTCTAGAGTTCTTTTATATTTCCTCTGTGTGTGTATATATATGTAAATTACACACATGTATAATATATACACACGTATAATTGGAATGTGAGCTCCTTGAGGACAGGGATTGTTTTTTACTTTTCTTTGAATCTCTATACAGTGCCTGACACATAGTCAGTGCCTAATAAATACTCGCTGATTTCTTGATGTTACACTGATGCAAAGTGTAACCAGTTTTCCTGTTTCTTGTGTTTGTTTGTTTGTTTGTTTGTTTGTTTTTGGCAAGGCAATTGGGGTTAAGTGACTTGCCCAAGGTCACACAGCTAGTGAGTGTTATGTGTTTGGGACTGGATTTGAACTCAGGTCCTCCTGACTCCAGGGCCAGTGCTCTATCCACTGCCTCCTCTTCTCCAGCAGATCACCTGTTTCATCCCCCCCCCCCCCCCCCCCCCCCGTCTTCTCCCGCAGTTCGCCTCTTTGATAGCCTCTTTCATCACCTTTTTCCACCTATAGTCTAAAAGCACGTCTTCTCTCCTAGTTCTTTCCCTTCTGCCTTGAAATTACCCAAGTATCTCCCATCATTAAAAATTATCCAATGAAATATATATAAAGCACTTAGCATAGTGCCTGGCACATAGTAGGCACTTAATAAATGTCTATCCTAATTCATGCACCCCACCCCACTCCCCACCATTAAAATCTTCACTAAGTCCTACCATAGCCTCAATAAACTCCATTGGCTCCCATTGCCTCTAGGATAAGGTGTAAACTCCTGTTTTTATCCTATAAAAGCCAAACGGCTTTTAGAGACCTTCACAACCTGAGCTCACCTTCTCTTTCTCTTCAGGCTCATTCTACATTCATCACTCACCTTTCCTCCACTCTCTAGTCTAGCCAAATTGGCCTTTTCTGTTTCTCAGCCATTGAATTTCATTTCCCATGTCCATGTTCATTTTGATAACCAGTGTTGGTTGGTTACAGGTGACATCGAGGTTAGTGCTATTTGGAAGTGCAACCTTAGGCTTTTACCCAACTTTCTCCTCCCCACCCAGATGCTGTTAGACCCACCTGCACCATTGAACTTCAAGCCTCCCAAGCCCCTGAAATCAAAAAAGGCATCCCAGTGGCGAACCAGAGTACCTAAGACAGCAACAAAATCCCAGTCTCGTATCTTAGAGCCCAAACCTTACAGAAGCTCAACTATACCTTCAGTCCAGTTCCTTGGGGAGCCTTGCATTTCTCCCAACGAGGTAAAGTAAAGCCACTCACATAGCTTGGGAGCTGGGGGAGCCCAGTTTTCCAAGAATTCTGTGAACCTTGTTTTTGTGGGGACCTGGTCTCAGGGCCTATGATTCTACCTTTGGTCTACTCGTAGTTCCCAGCTTGAATTTAGGGAGCCCATAGATTACACACTCACCTTCGTATGCATTTGGCTGTTGGACAGGGAGCCAGACCAGCCTACCCAGGTGGGTAGGGGTCCACGAAGTCTCTGAGCTGGCACCAACACCCATAGGTAGAAAGGTGGGAGGGACATTTCGTTATGAAGCCATGATAACATGTCAGCTCTCTGACTTGATTTTGCTTTCTGTTTCATCAATAATTAGAAATCTCTTTTGTCTCTGAAGCAGCAGCAGCAGCAGCAACAGCAGCAGCAGCAGCAGCAGCAGCAGCAGCAGCAGCAGCAGCGTGTAATAAATGAAAATGAGATACAGGAAATATGTCTGCCAGAGAACACTAGAATCTCCATGCCTCTCTATGATGACCCCATGTTGTTTTCTGAGACATACTCCATCACAGTTTCGGCTGAACTGCCCATTGATTTCATTCAACAGCCAATTGAGTACGAACAAGATATCACTCTTGGGTAAGACATTCGTGGGCTGGTGGCAACGTTGTTGGATGGGAAGCCAGGGGGTTACTTCTCTGTCTCTTCCCTTTCCTTCAGTTCTTCTGGGATACTCTGTCCTCTCTGCCCCCTCTTGCTTCTTGTCTTTCCTTTCTGACCTTTTCTTCTCAGTCTCCTTTGCCTCTACTGTCCTCTCATCCAGTCATCCAGATCACCCCCCCCAACCGTGCCCTGTACAAGACCCCCTACTCTTTTCTGGCTACACTCTCCTTCTTGGCAACCTCATCAGATCCCATGGATTTCATTCTCATCTCTATACAGATGACTCCCAGTCCTGTATATCCAGCCCCTAGTCTCATCTCTGATCATCAGGTGATGGCATCCACATTCTCTCTTTGAGATTTCATACTCAACATGTCTAAAATACAACTTATTCTTTTTCTCCCAAGTGCTCCTCTCTGCCAGCCTTCCCTATTTCTGTCTAGGGCACCACTGTTCTTCCAACCACCAGCTTTGTGACATCAGTATTAACCTCAGTATCTCGCCCCACATAGCCAGGGAGCTGACCGAATTTTGCCATTTCTACATCTGCACCGCCCCTCTCAGCCAGCCCCTTCTCTCTACTCACACAGCCCTCATCAGCTGTCTCTTAGATTATTGGAATGACCTCCTAATTGCTCTCCCTGCCTCAAGTCTCTCCCCACTCCAGTCCTTCCTACATACTGCTGCCAAAGTGATTTTCCTGAAGTATAGATCTGACCATGTAACTCAGTATATTGCCTCTAGAATCAAAGATAAATTCCTCTGCTTAGCTGGTGAAGCCCTTCAGAACTTTGCCCCCACCTCTCTTTCCAGCCACACTGCACATTCCTCCTCCTGTTGAACTTGACAGCCTAGTCAAACTGGCCTCCTCTCTGTTCCTCACTCACTGTACTGCATCTCCCACCTCCATGCCTTTGCATTCATTGGCTGTCCCCATGCCTGGAATGTGCTTCCTGTTTACCTCACGGAATCATTCGTCCTCTAAGACTCAGCTCAAGCATCACCTTCTACTTGAAGTCTTTCCTGCTCTCTGCCCTCCCTATTGTATTTAACTATTTTGTATTTATTTTCTTTTAATTTATTTTGTATATTCTTAGGCAACTATTGCTCATGCTGCCTTCCTTATTACAAGTAGGAACTGGTTTATTTGTATCCCCAGATAGTAGCACAGTACCTGGCACATAATAGGCACTTAGTAAATACTTGTTAATTGATTTTTTGGATTGTTCTGAGCCTCAGTTCTTTTACCTTTCTGATGAGCGCTGGGACTAAATAATTTTTCGAAGTCCTTTTTAGCTCTGAGAATTGCTAGTTCTATGATGTTCAATTGTTTTGACTGAGTCCAAGTTTTACAGAACAAATCCTTTTCTTAAGGGGATTTGTTCTGTGAAGTTTGGATTCGGTCAAAGGGCCACACTTGAGGACCTAGAGGGCCACAGGTGGCCTCGAGGCCGCAGGTTCCCCACCCCTGGTTTAGAACATTTGTTTTTATTTATTATTATCTCATTCAAAGCAGTGGCTTCCTCATCCATTGTTGTATAGCTCAGTGGGGCATAAAATAAGGTAGAAAAAAGGTAGCAGGGTGGTATCTGACCACCCTAAAAAGAGGATGGCCTTGGATTGAAGCACACTATTTGCTATTTTTTTTCTTCTGTTGTGTTTTGTTTCCTCTTTCTGGTGGTTCCTCTTATTGGTTCTAAGTCTTACTTACAACATCACTAATGTGAAAATATGTTTAATAGGAACGTATATGCATAGCCTATATCAGATTGTATACCATCTTGGGCAGGGTGGTGAGGAGGAAGGGGGAGAAAAATTTAAAACTCAAAAGCTTATGGAGGGGCAGCTAGGTGGCACAGTGGATAGAGCACTGGTCCTGAAGTCAGGAGGATCTGAGTTCAAATCCAGCCTCAGACCAAATACTTGACATTTACTAGCTGTGTGACCCTGGGCAAGTCACTTAACCCCATCTGCCTAAAAATTAAAAAAAAAAGCTTATGAAAGTGATTGTTGATAATTCAAAATAAAGTAATAAAAAAAAGAGGATGGCCTTGTCTTACCCTAAGGCACTGATCATGAAACTTTGCTATGCCCTCCAGGCCAATGGTCCATGGAGACCCTCTTTCGAGCTTGCCCCATATATAGTGGGGAAGCTGAGTGAAATCCTTTCTCACTTTATCCCAGCAGGGGTAAAGAGCTTTTCTTGAAGGAAACCTTCACTCATATTAGTGATCACTGATGCACAAAACGACTTCAGCTCAGCCCAAATTCATGTTGATTTGGATTACACTGGATGTCAGCTTTGAGATTCACAGTTAGTGTATTTCTGGCAGTCCTAAAAGATGTTTGCTTTGAGTTTGGAAACTTTTAGAAGAGAAAGAGCTACAATTTGGTTATTATTTGATCACGCTTTTAAAAAAAAATCTTATTTTTTATATGATTTGGCTGCCTGAAAGTAATTGGTTTCTTTCCTTATATTGCTGCCCATTCAGGAAATCAAATGGTGTGACTTATTTCCACCCTCTTAGGCTTTGTCTCTGAAGGCCAAGTGGGATCACTGATATGTGACATTCACAAGGCTGAGCTGGAGAGGCATCCTCCAAGTATGAGCTAGGTCCAGCTGCCCCTTCTCCCCTCTGATTGGCACAGCCAGCCCCCAGGAATGGGCAGTCCCCCCAGAATAGCACCAGCGGGCTTCCAGCAGACCAAGTACATCTTAGTCGTGGCCTTTTTCTGGTGGTTGGATCAAAGCATAAGGCCCATTTTGTTCTGATCTTTTGGAAAATATTGAGGGTTGCCTCCCTGTAAGAAATGGGAAGAAGTGAAGATGAGTATGGCGAATTAGTAACTAGACAAAAATAGGCTGTCCTTTTAAGATGTAGACTTAATCAAGTCAATGAAGTTTTTAAAACATCTAGGACTTGTCGGAGATCCAGTTGATGTCCCCAAATAAGGACAGAGTTGGGCCCTTCATATAGCAACCAAACTGCTCTGCTGGGGCTCATAGCAGCCCAGGCTGAAGGTACAGAGTATGTGGACCAAAGTCTTCTGTTTCTCCAGCCAAATGCAGTTCATTCCCAAACTTGGATGCACTTCTGGTGACCAGGACAGATCAAGTGATGGTTTCTACCCACCCCTGCTGATTAGCCAGGAGGAGTGGGTTTAAACCACTAGCAGAATGGCCATCTCTGCTTAAAGAGACCCAGCCAAGCTAATGAATGGAGTCCTAGAGAGTGACACAATGAATGTGGCCAGATTCTCTGCCCCCTACCAGGAAGTAGAGGTCCAGTGGGCCTTTGGAGTATTGGTCCATTAGTTTGAATAAGAGTCTACCACCTTCTTTCACCATGTCGAAGTTAGGCGTTAGAGATGCAGCAGTGTCAACTCCTTGCCCTGCTTTCTGGAGCTCAATTCCAGAAGCCCTTTAGACTTTTTCCTCAGCCTGTCTTAAAATCCAAGGATAATGACACCTGGTACGGTCTACTGAAAAGAACGTGGGTGGAAGTCAAAGTCAGGAGCGCCCAGAGTTTGGGCTCCCAGCTCTTCCCCTAAGTTACTAGATAACTTCTGCTCCTTCCCTTGGAGGATAGCTAATTAGCACTCACATCCATATGGTGCTTGCGAGCTTGCTAAAGGGGTTTTTTTCCTTTACTTTCTGGCTCTCCCTATCTTGCCCAGGCTGGAAGTATAGCTGCCTGGGCCACATCTCCCTCCTGATTGGCAAGAGAGCTTTGACCTGCTGTTTTTGCCCTGGGCTGGTTTGTCCCTCCTGGTGGGGAGTAGCCTGGTGGCCTCTGTTCCAGAGGCTCACACTGATACCAAACTTAGCCCTACTGGACCTCAGAACTCCTGACTTCAGGCAGTCCACCAGCCCCAGCCTCCCCAGTCCAGTTACAAGCCCAGGCCACCATGGCCCACATGAAGAGCTTTCCTCCAAAGGGCCATGCGAGATAAGTGCAAGTATCAATACCCCCATTTTACAAATGGAAACTGAGACTTTAAAAGGCAGAACAACTTGTGTGAATTCATATAGTAAGTGCTAGAGTAGGAACCTGAACCCAGGCCTTCAACCTCTAAGTCCAGTGTTCTTTCCATTCGTTCCCATGATCATTTCCCCCTCATTAGGAAATAATAAGCCCTGCCCACGTTACCTTAGTGCTAGGTATGAGCATATATTGTGTTCCTATAGCTTCGGCCCATTTATTGGCGGATGCCTTGTATTCTCCCAGTGACATGCAAGTAAGCTCCTTGAGGGCAGGAACTGTTTTCATTTATGTCTCTGAATCCCCAGCACCTCCTGTTGTGCATAATTGAACTCGTTGAATGAATGATCGAATTTCCTATGAAAGCACTTTGAAACAAGTTTGGTTAAGGCCATTTAAATATACTGTGATTCTCCAGTCCGTGGTGTAGAGCAGGCCTGCAGAGTATATGGCCCACAGGCTGTATGTTGTGCAGGCCTGGGGTAGAGGCTTGCCCAGGTGATTTAAACATTCATGGGCAAGGCTTATGTGCATTTAGGAGAATGGAAGAGTCTGTTTTGAAGCCGAGACTCTAAGGCTTTGTGTAGAGAATTCAGAAATTTTCAAAAAGAAACAAAGACAAAAAAGCCTGGGACACTGTGGTGTGGAAGAAAGAACACTGGACTCAGTGAGGAGTTTCAACTTTATCACTCTACTGTAGTCACATAGGGAGTTAAGTTACTGACCCTCCCAGGCCTCAGTTTCCTTATCTAATCTGTGAAAAGAAAGGGTTGGCTCAGATGATCTCAAAGTTCCCCTGTAGTTCCGAGTGCTTGATTCTCCATTTTCTCCTAACCAACCTGTATGGGGTAGGTAGAGTAGCTAGTAGTATGCCTCTTTTGCAGAGAAAGGAACCAGCATCCTTGGGAGTGAGAGTAAGTACCCCAGAGTACACTGGGAGCTCACGGGGGAGGCAAGCCTGACATCATAGTCTATGTGAATTTCTCCCACTGCCTCAGGGAAGAGACTCTGCTACTTGTCAGTGGGCGCATTTGTTCCGTCTCCTCCTTTCCCAAGAACCTAATCATCACCATGACCTCCAGCTTGGAGATTAGTGATATCTTGTGTCCCAGGACAGCTTGATCTTGTAGACTCACTTAAACATGACTGGCAAGCCTTCATTGAGTAGAGAAATTTACATGTGCCTCAAGCATGTATTGGCAATAGTCTGAGAATGCTGATAAAATATATTTTTAATAGCATTCAATGGTGATGGTCTGAGACCGTTGATAAAACCTTTTTAATAGCGTTTAATGGTGATGGTCTGAGGTTGTTGATAAAACATATTTTTAATAGCATTTATGGTTGATGGTCTGAGGTTGTTGATAAAACCTATTTTTAATAGCATCTGTTGGCAGGGATCTGAGATGGTTTGCGGAAACATTTTTAATAACAGCACGGGGTTTAATTTCCGAGTTAATACCTGCATATCACTTACACTCCTTTCCGCTCCTACAGGTTTCTCCAAGATGATCGGCGTCTGCCTTCTCCTTCAGCATTTACTCCAACCATGTTCATTCCAACCACTGACTTAGCCATCCTCGACACACAGCAGCTACCTGTCCATCCGTGGGAGCCACCCCAGGTCCCCCAGAGTGAGGTCTGCCTTCAGGTAATATCCTCAGAAGGAGCGAACTGGCCTTCTGCTTTTCAACCCACTCCTCTCTGATCAGCAGTGGGGTCTGGGCAGGAGAGGCTAGGGTGAAGAAGGGACACCCCTCCCCCCAGTGGCTAAGTGGGCGTGGCTCTAGGATTCAGTGCAGCTGTAAACCTGGTGTCCCCAAGGTAGCTTTGTGTTCCCATAGAGGTAGGCCCTCCCTGCTTTAAAGACACCTACTCAGATTTCATAATCTGGACCTTATTTTTTTTAAAGGCCAATAATTCACAGTGGCAAATGCCCCTTGAGTGGGAATCTAAACATCTATGACTTTACCAAAGGATTCATCCCAGGGCTTATTTAACTAATGAGCCGCCACTATTACATTTCAGATAAGATACAGTTCTCCAACCTTTGCAGAAACATCCCAGTACAAAAGGAACCGGCCTTGTGTTTTTGGAGCATTGTAGCTTTAGAATAGGCCTCTGAGGTCAATAAGTCCAGCCCATACCTGCACAGAAATCTGCCCCCCACACATCTCTGAGAAGTGGTCCACTGGTCTCTAGTAATGGGGAACTCATGACTTACCAAGCCAGTTCATCTCCCCTTTGGACACACATGGCCAGGAAATTTTCCCTTATATTGAGCCGGGATTTATCCTCTCGGCATCTTCTATCCAATATCTCCAGTTCTGTTCTCTGGGGCCAAGCAGACTGAACCTAAGCGTTCCTGTTCCATGGGGCAGATCTTCTCCCAGTTCAGCATCCTCAGTTCCCCCAACCAGTCCTCCAAATGTGGCCTCCCATTTCCTCCTGATTTTCTTTCCTCCATTCCTCAAGCTTGATGGTTTGATCTTGCCTTGGAAATCAGGCTGACTGTGGCAAGTGAGCCTCTCTGGTCTCAGGGGCAGCTCTCGGTGATTCTGGGGGAGATAGAACTATTTGCCAAAAGAGCATTTGCTTTGGCTGAGTGGGTTATCCCCGAGGAGCCACCATGAGGGGTTGGTGGCTTCAGCCTGAGATCTCCACCCCCCCAAAAAAAGACCCCGCTGAAGAAATACTCTGTCATGGGTACAACAGATTCTCACCAAACATTTATACACTTCCAGCCTGACTAATTGAAGTCTCCTCTTAGGAATAGTGTTTCTTGCTGTCCCTGGACATGCCAACCCTGTCAGACCTCTCCAGACAAGACTGACGGGCCAGGGTGGGGGTGGGGGCAGGGTGGAAAAGGCCAGTCTGCCTTAATGATGTCTGAATTAGAGCATGCTAAAGCATGACAGCTCTCCCACTAACACCAACTTGGTTAGCAAAGGGCAGTACAGAAAGGGCTGAACCAGGTCGGGTCCTGCAGATCAGTTTTAATGACGAGAGAAACCAGGGATTCTTCATCTAGCATTCTTGTTTGCTGTCAGGTATAGTGCCACAGGATTGTTTGAAAGCTGATTGTTCTCCTAATAGTCTACCTGCCAGCTTACTTAGACTGTTCATTTGCTTACCAAATTCCCCTGTCCTTGATAGCAAACTAGGAAATTTCATTGTGTCCCTGTGGACTTTCAGCTTCCCGGTCAACATGGTCGTAAGTCACCATCATCGCTTGCCAGTGCCTACTGTGTGCTCAGCCCTGCTCTCACGTAACTTACAGCCTCATTAGTGAGGCAGGATGAACACATGGCAAAGAATACAACAGAGCATCCTAGCTGGGTTACCCTAGGCAAGTCTCTTAATCATGCTAAGCCTCAGTTTCCTCATCTTTAAAAGGGGGATAACAGTAGCTAAAGGGCCTCCCTCAATAGTGAATTTGCTATGGTTTTTGCTAACACCTCTTCATCTAATGGTTAGATGGTTTCCAAAGCATTTTCATCAGAAGAACCCCGTGATGTAGGTTGCACAGGTGTTATTGTACCCATTTGACAGAGGAGGCTCAGGGAGTAAAGGGACTTGCCCAGGATCTCACAGGTAGGAAGTGACAGGGCCAGAATGCAACTCTAAGGGATGCTACGTGCTGCATGAGCTTGGAGAAGGAAGTGAGCAGGTGAAGGGCTGTGGGAACGGGGTGGGGGGAGGGGGAGGTGGACCTTTAAGCCCCAAAGAATGAGAAGAGGAGTAAAGCATGTGACAGCAGAATCTGCCTCTTCTCCCCCGATGATCTCCAGGCCGAGCTTATCTAAAATGGGCCCCAGTACCTCAAGGGTCCCCATCCAAGATGGTGCTTCTTCAGGTATCAGCCAAGGGACCAAAGGCACTGGGCCAAAGACTCCCATCCTACCGCATTTTTCTTTCCACAGATTCATACTCCTGAGACAGTCCAGGAAAGTCAGACCCCAGGGACACCCCAACTATTGCAGTCACCCTCTGTGGGCTATTTCCGGCATCCCCAGCAGCCCGACACAGAGTTGTCCGACATGTAGGCTCCGTGACGGACAGGGCTGTAGCGATAAGAAGAATGCTAGCTAGAGCCCATGGCAAAGCAAGTTGCAAGGGGGAGTGGAAGCTCCTGGAGTAGAAGAACCAACCCAGAAGGAGGGGGACTCTGGGATGGGAAGGGATGGGGGTATGGGTGGGGGTGGGGGCGGGGGGTTGAAAGACAGGCACAGGTAAAAGTGCCAGGGGTGCTCTGGGGGATGCAGTGCCAGGACCTGCTTTCTTTTCCTGGTGTAACATTTCCTTAGTATTTAAAGCTAGAGAGTACATTTCTTTAAGTAATGCTGTAAAAAAAAAGCGTGTACTCAGTGGTATGACCTAAAACTTGAAACTGTGAGTAGCTACCATCCATCTCTCCCAATACACACACACACACACACACACACACACACACACACACACACACACA